GATGTGGTTACTTCTTGTCCTATCTATTCGAATAATAGGAGTACTTGTCTCAAAAATCTTTCACCAAAGAGGCGCCATTAATAAATGCAGGAAGACCATTGCGGAACATAGACGAAAAGAATAACCTCAAAGTTGGATCGACAAGCTTCGACAGGAAGCTGTGATTCTCCGAAAACTGGATTGAAAAGAATAACCCCGCCAACCTCTTTCAAAATTTTTCGAAACGACTTCTTTCAAAATAACCTCGCCAGTTCGATGTGATTCTCCGAAACAACTTCTTTCAAAATTTTACACATGCTCCTCCTTCGTACCTTCCTGCCATCATTGCCATGAAAGCTCAATTCCAAGCTTTAACTTAGAGACATAGAAACAGAAGCAATGCCCACCTTTTCCATTTCCTATAAGAAGAATAAGAGAGAGAGAGAGAGAGAGAGAGAGAGAGAGAGAGAGAGAGAGAGAGAGAGATGATCACTTACCTAGCTAGAGTAGTTCAGGTTGGATTTGGAATTCAGCCGCCGAACTGTTGAAGGGTTTGAAGGAGGGAGACCAAAGATGAAAAAGAGAGTTGGAAACTTGGAATCAGCTGGAATGGGAATCCGATTCCGAGAGGGTTGGCCGAGAATGGCCATTCCCTCAAATGGGGGAATGCCATTCTGCCCAAAGTGGGAATCAGATTCTGATTACAGTCAATCATTCCGATTCTGAGTCTCTATTCCTGCAAACCAAACATACCCTTAGTGTCAGAAATATAAAGGTATTTTAAGACAATACTAAAACAGGAAAGTATAATTAGTCAATTTTCTAAATCTTAGGGATAGTTTAATAAATTTTCTTTTAAAACGAAACCCAAAAACAAATTAATAAATTTTCTTTTAAAACGAAACCCAAAAACAAATTAAACATGCATTTGTCCTAATTCATAGGAAGAGCATTTCCAAGATACGGAAAGTTTGTTTTGTATCCCCTACAGATGCATAGTTCTTCACCGATCTGGAACATCGAGTTGTTTCACAACACACGAGTCACGACATCTAACAGAAAAGGCATGGTTACGTGGCCCGTTGTACACGCCTTTGTTTCTAGTAGACTCTGGCCGTTTATTTTGTATGCTCTACGGAAACCGGAGAATAGTGGAACAATCACGATACGTCGATACGCTATGTCAGCGTAATAGTGGTAAGTGTATGTATGACGTGGTCTATCGCCATTGGTCATCATCATTACGGGCTAGAACTCTAGATGTTTTGAACCCTGATGCGATAACTGATAATCAAATCAACCAGGATGTTCAGCAACGTCCTTTGCTGCTGAAGGTTTAAGCGCGAGATCTGGCCGACCGTTTTTTTGGCCGGATCTGGTCGACCTTTGGGATGCGGATTGCGGAGGATTCAGAATTCGACCGAGTGTGGGTCCCAAGGCCAACACAGGCACGTTCGGATATCACATCACCAAAGGGGTATTTGTGTCCTTGTAAGAAAACAACTATGATGTAGAAATAAAAAGGGTAAATTACAAAGACCCTCTTTACTGTGGGTCTGTGACAAAGACCCTGTATTTTAATTTGCAATAGAGACCCCTAAAATTTCAATTGCGATAAATACCCCTTTGACCGTTAAATCAGCTGACGGAAACCGTTAAATTACTAAAATGCCCTACTAAACATTCTCTACTTTCTTTTTCTTGCCATTCTCTATTAAACCTAACTGATCTTAAACCAATGCATCAACCAAAAACTAGTCATCTTAAAAATGCATCTTCTGGAGTTACTATTCACCAAAAGAATTAAAGTAGCAAGGGATGGTTTCATGCCTTGAATGAAATGAGATTTTTGAACCACGTTAGAAGATTACAGTCTGACGAAAGTAGCAAATGGGTTGCAAAGAATAGATAGTCGAAGCACATGAAAAAGATTACGGTACCTAACGTGCGTGTGTGTGTGTCCGAAATGTGTGCCTTCGATAGGTAGCTTTCATTATTCTATAGAGAATTATTGACTTCGCTCTATGAGCTACAGAGCTAGTCCGAAATCTGCAATGCCGTGGAATCCCTCCACTATTTACGAATTGAATGGCTAATTAATAATCGAAGCTTCTCAACAGAGAGAATCAAGACAAGGTATGACCATTCCATGGAAGATCGACCCAATAATCAAGGACACTTGAGAAATGGCAAAGGACATTAACATCTTGGTATTAATACAAGTCATCAATCCAGAGAAGGTAAACAAATTGCAGAGCAGACCTAATAGTTAATCATTGACGTCAAGAAATTAAGAGAGATGTGGAGAGGTTAAGTTGCACCATATGCAAAGATTTATGGAGCTCTTTTCTCTTGCATTACAAGAAAAGAAAATTCAAGAACCACTTCTATTTGCAACTGGTATTTGTTGATGCCAAAACAGAGCAAGCACCATGTACCGTCATAAGCCTTTGATTGGTTCAATTGCAGGTCCATTGCAAGATGACGCCAAAACAGAGGATTACTTTGTATGCCAATTATTGAATCTCTCTTATATTTCTTATTCATCTCACCTAACTTAAGTATTTGTCCACAAAAGATCGTTTACAAGAAAGCAACATATATTTTATACACGTCTCCGAAGAATTTGCAACCTGCTTTATGAAAATGCAAGGGTAAAGCTGAATCGAATAAATTGAATCAGGTTGTGCCCACAAGTCCAAATATAGCACCAGTGGAATTGACCGGATTGATTTGGAAACTTTGGGACATTTTGATATATACCGTTGGTTTTACTCAAATCAACCTAGCTGTAGAACACTTGAACTCAAGTACGTACTAAACTAAACTAGCATGGCCCCGTTTCTCAGTTCAGCATCCATGTCTATTTTCATATTTATTGGTCATCTGCATGCCTAATTCCAACTGTAGTCGAATTAACAAATGCAGCTTTCGGGTTCACACAAGTAGTTATCTATGGTTATGAACCAGTTCCATCAAATGAGCAATTACATGAAACCATACTCAATTCTGGATGTAGGATTGTCAGATTTCAATTGGAAGGTCAAGTCGTTCTTTCTTGTTGGAGGTATCGTCGTCCCTTTCTCTTMTGTCTTCCAGATCATTACTCTCTGTTTMTATGTCCATGGATTCGAATGCTGCATTTTTAGTTATACAGCCAGAATCTCTCAATGGTCGCTGTAGAGAAGTCCGTGATCAATCTATAAGATATCCTCTAGAGATTTGCCTTGACAACTTTTGCAAGATTGCTTTTAGATTTGACCCAGAATACTTGTCTCCCTCGTTTCCACCACCAGAATTCACCACCGCATTTGAAAGTGTTGTCCGTTTGAGCAACGAAAAGATATGGTTTACAATCATGCATCGCTCTGCAAGAGCATGAGACTATACCTGCCTTTTCTTCGAGATGCCAAGGAGGCAACGAGGACAACATATTACTCGAAGGAATAGTGGTGAAGACGATTTCATAAATTAAAAAAAAAAAAGGTAAATTTAATTATAAAAGGGTAATTTGGGCATTTAAAAAAATTTAAACACTCAAATGAGAATATTTTTTCGAAATTAATTGACACAACATTAACGGACGGGGTTTTGTCTAACGGCCAAAGTTCAGAGGGCCTTTGTTGCAAAAAGAAATACAAGGGGTCTTTGTCACAGACCGCATAGTACAAGGGGGTCTTTGTAATTATCCAAATAAAAAAGTAAAACTGAGCTGCCACCAAACAGTCGCGCGAACTCTCTCCCTCGGGGTCAAATACTTATACAGGAAGCGAAGGGATTCCAGCAGCTTCTGTACACGCCGTCGTTAAAGGTATGATCTCCCCTTTCCATCTCTGCTTTTGTCTGTTGAATTCGTTTGCTGATCTTCAGTATCGATATCGTTGCTACGTTTCTATGCTGTCACTTATCCCCTATTATTCTTTCCCTTTTGGGGTGGGGGCTTGTTCAGTTTCGCCCTTTCTTTTAACCCTGGTGAATCAGAATTGCGTCATTTAATATATGTTATGAATTAAATTTTCTCATTGAATTTGCGTTGCATGCGAATTTGATTGACTGTAAATGAGTTTGGACCCTGAATTCGAGCGATTAGTTGAAAATTATTGTGGGACGTGAGCAAGTCGACAATGTATTAGGTAGTTTTCTTTTGGTTGAACTGGATTTTACGTTGGTTTAGGATGTACTGCAATTCTCCGTGGTTTCAAATTGTGCAATTAAGAAGACGTAGATCTTTGATATCTAGTTAAACTCATGTATTATTATTTCTAAGACTATTGGCAATTAGCTATTAGTATTTTATTGTTTTAAATCTGTGAAGATAAATTGTGTAAGTGGTCTCTAGTTAAAGGACGTAGGCAACATCAGTTGCTGTTGATTGGCGTTGTATGTGAATTATCATTCATCTGATATTATATTTAAGAAAAGAAGATAAACTCTGGTTAGTATTCCGAAGAGCACAACAGAAAATCCTATAATAATTGATCAGATGATAGGTTATGAAATTATACAACATCCTTGTGGTAACAGCAGGTTTATTTGGAGAAATACGCTTATGCTCCAATTCGTTATTTCTAAAAAGAACGAGTGGAAGTAATTGGCTGTAATTCCTATACCCACTCTGTAATTTATACATCTACCAGTTAATTGAATCATTATTTGATAGTTCATTTAAGAGTGTGAAAAGAGTTCTAGTTATTCTCGCAATTTATAGATTTATTTATTTTTTAGATTTGTTGAATATACCTTTTCATACTTGCATGCCTAATACAACAGACACACTTATTGATTCTGTTTGAAGATGTAGAGGGGGGTTTTCACCAGATCCAAGCTTATTTATTGCATTTCTCCTCAATGATTTGTAAAAAAAGGCAAGTAATGCTTTATTTTGGTGAACTTGTTTCTCATTTAGTCAATCCAAGTTTTTTTTGGTTAGATAAAAGTAGATCGACAATCTCACTCATCGCTTTACTCAGGCCATAAAGGCAGACAGCATACCTTCGTCCCAAAGTAAAGATTAGCTTCATGGGTGATGGTCCTGGGAAGATACAAGTTTTCCCAGATCACTTTAAAGCATCAACACCAACTGAGGACCCCCTTGAGAAAAACGGTTCAACTGCTTCACAACCAAGGACTGATAATTCTTTGAGGTAGTGAATTTTTGTCTTGGTTGTTACAGATTCAAATTGAGTAATCTTGGGAATTCATTCCATGTCTAGTGTTTATTTTTCTAGAACAGGTCGGGTCATCATTTCTGGAATCGAAGAAAATTAATCCACGCTGCATCCATGCTGAACTTGTTTAGTCGACCGGGACTTCCATGGGGATCTGGAACCGATGATAAGGTGAACTTTAATGGTTGGTTCTTCTCAGTAATTATTATTCCTCCTTACTTGGATAATGACTTTAGTTTGCAGGTTGAACTAACTACTGTGGAATTAGAATCTCTTCGATCAGAAATTGCTGATTTAGAGGAGAAAGAAGCCCATCTGAAAGCTCAGTAAGGAAGACTAAGTTTACTGTTTTTGATCAATTAATGAAATATTCCTTTTCTTGCATGTATAATCTCATGTTTGTATTTTAAATCATAAAATCTTTATTAATTTGGATGCAGCAAGCAATGCTATGCCTCTTTATTTTTCATCTCATTTTCACAAAAAAAAAAAAGAACAGGTTTAAAACAAATGAGGCACAATGCATGGGCTTTCATTTGTGGTATAAAAACTAGGGTCTTGTCATAAAAATTATGCTGAGATACACTAGGGCGGAAATTTTATGGTGTATTTATTTGGGAAGAGAAGAATGCTAGAATCTTCAAGGAGGAAGCAAGCAACAAAGATTCTATCATAGAAACTGGAATGCATATCTGTCTAGGTGGCTCATTGGTTGAAGACCTTATTATTTTTTAAAGATTTATTTATATCATAAGTAATTGACAGGCAGTGGTGAATTCATCCTTAACAAGGAATGTCTTAACAGCATAATGGGTCTCTTCAACTTTGATGGATGCAGTTTAGGGAACCTAGGAGTGTCAAGAACTGAAGGAGTGTTCTGAGATTCTGAAGAGGAATATAATTGCTTTATTTTCAGGACCTGTTTTCCATGGTGATTCAAGGATTAACCAGATCTTCACACCTTACAAGTTACAAATATGGTGGTACAGGGGGACTTGCATGTAACAGTTTAGATAGTTCACAAGAAAATACATTATGAAAGAGATTAAGGAGCTAGCTAGAGAGCTGTATATAATTTGTAGATGGGCTTTGAGATCGGCTAACTCCTTGGCTGATAAATTGGCAAAACAGGGCACAACTAGGGATATTTGAATGTTTAAATGACTAGAAGTAAGGTATGAGTAATGAAATATGTAGGGTTGCAAATGGCATCTGATTGTTTGAATTTGCATTCTTATACAATCTGATTAAGGAAACCTGAATTTCATCTGTTTATAATTCGAACGAATATGAATCCAATCCAATCTGATCTGTTATGATCCATACATACATACATTTGTATGTACATATGTACACACACACATACACATAAAAAATTAATATGTATTTATTATGCAAGGTACAGTAAAACTTCAATGATGATACTAAAATGGCATGCTTATTTGTTCGGTTCTTTAGGAAAAAAAACCATAAATGGCCTAACAAAATCTTTCATGTGGAAAGAGGGTTTGGTGCTCAGAAGATTGTCAGTTGTTTGCCTCCCTGTATTCTATCCAGGAATAATTCTAGCCTTACACTCACCAAATGTTCAAAACAGGCTCATTTTCTTAGCAGTTTCTAAAGTAAAACTTTGGGCAGTTTAGGTCCCTGGGAAAATATGAATACAATGTGTGGCACAATGATGATGTGATCATAGGTATTGAACATATGGTTGGTCTAGAGGCTTCCCTATTTAATGGATGGCTTGAATCAGTATATGCATCCTCCATGTTGCAAAATAAGGTTGGTCATGTTGGATCAGACCCAACCTTTGTTTTTTCCTTATTCTTCACAAAGTGGCTGCTCTCAGACTTGAACCTGTGTTCTCATGTTTGTCAGCCTGAGTTTTTACCATTGCACCAGGCAATTACTGGTATGAACTTGATAAATATTTTGTCTTCTAGAATAACCCATGCAGCCTAGTTGTTGTTGTTGTTTAATTGAAGAGGAATTTTATTATCAAAAGAAGAGAACTGTTACAAGCAGAGGCACGAGGTGCGACCTCCCTTGAAAGTGTAAAAAACCATAGAGCACTAGAGATAAGATATTACAAGGTAGCCCAGTACAAATGTTCTCTCAAAACCCCTAGTTGGTTTTTTGCAGTATAGCTGTTAAAACTGTGTATGGAACTTGATCTCTGGTCAACATGTGTACTTTATTGGTCATTAGGTTTCTGGAGAGGTGTTTGAGGTCTTCTAAAAGCCCCCCCGTGCAATATTTGAGTCATATTAACAAGAAGAGACCTTTGTTCTAGTGTTACTAATATCCCATTTGGGAGGGTTTCAGGAGCTGTGCTGCTTTGGAGAAGCTACTGGAAAGTCGATTTCTTGGATCATGAATGTGTAATTTTGGCTTTCCAGGCTTTTCTCCAAACATGGCTTGAGGGATTTATGTGTGGGGCCTACCTTGCAAAGCCTGAAGCCACTGCATGAAAGCCCTCTCAAATGGGCACTAAATTGTTCTATGAAAGTGGTTCTGCTACAGTGAGGGTTGAGCTTATCAGAAAACACTGCTTGATCATATATAACATTTTGATTTATATGATATGGGTGTGGTAACATAATATAGTCATGCAAGCATATAAATTAATTGTTTCATATCTTTTGTAATGATTTTCATTATGTATGCATATCAGTATATCAATGTTTCTGTCTACATGAACATCTAACTTGGTCTCTGTCTGTCCATCTGTCTGTGTGTCTTGATATGTGCGTATGTATGTATACATGTATGTCTATGCACAAGAGACCAGTTACAAGGAAACGATGGGTTATGACTTATGAGAAAGAATTCCTTGTCTGAAAAAAAAAATATTTGCATCAATTTTTGTTAATTTATTTATTGTTACATACTGTATGCTTAATTGTGACAGTTGAATTTCTTCCATCAATTCAGGTTGGAGCATCTTGATGAACTTCTGAGGTCTGCTCGCCTGGCTGGCTATTTGTTTATTAGAACAGTAATGACCGCCTACTATTTTCTGGAATTCACTTTATAGCTTGTTTCACATGGCACCATTTTGTAAACAATCCAAACTTCCTTATTGGTTTAATATTTTTGTTGATTAGAGATGGACAGCATTACCGGGGGAACCTCCTATAGATGACGCTGATGTTGATGATTGGCTTCCACGCTTTGTTGTTCTCCATGGTTCATGTATCTTCTTCTATTTAATGTCAACAGGTAAATTATGATTGATTAGATATTTTTTATTGGTTGGTTAACTTTTTATTAATTATGAACAGAATCATGTACAATGTAATTTTAAGTCGTGCTTAAAACTCTGTACAATTTAGCCCAACACTCTTTCCTCCCTCTATTTTGAACTTTGTTATTTCCTCTCATTCATATCCTGTAGTCCCCCACGATAATTGATTCCTGATGGTTCCATATCTGGATAAGGTATCGGCCATTACATTTGCAGACCTCCTTATCTATGTAACCCTAGTATTTAATTCTATAGCAATGTTTCTTGCCTCCTTGACTGTCAATTTCCAAGGCGCTTGATAGATTTTCCTCAGCCAATTTATGACTGTTTTTTGAGTCACATTCAACAATGAGATTCCTGTATCCTAATGTTTTGGCACAGTTTCAACCCCTGAAGTACTGCCATTAATACAGCATCTGAGTTCCTGATGCCAATTAGACCAGAAAATAGAGGCAATCAACTCACCTTAATGATTTCTGAATATTTCTCCAATGCCTGAAATGCCTGGGTTGCCTAGACTGCACCCAACAAAATTCAGCTTGATAAAGCCTTTTGGTGGTGGAGACCAGTGTACTAGGGGGGCTGTGAGAGGAAGAGGATGTAGCCACACATTGCTATCCCCTCAAGATATCATCATCTATGTAGTCCTTAAATCATTTCTGTAATGACATAAATTATTTCTATTTATCATAGTTCCATGACTTTTATTATGCTACCCAATATCACTTGACTCAAAGAAGAAGCCACTGCTGCCTTTGCAAGAAAAGCGACCAACAGCTTGACATATTTTGTAATTTTTGTTTTAAAACTTCTGTAATGTAGGTTTCTGTACCCATATTTCTCAGTGGTTTGTGTGCCCTTTAGGATTGTTAGTTATGCTCTTAAATATCAATGTGATGATCCACCCTCATTCAATTCTACAAATATATCCATGTTTAATGCCCAGAGAAATGTAGTTCTTGATAGCTGATAAAAAAATTGTTCTTAATAGGTAGCACTTTTCATGTCATGATTGAAGAATGGTATGTTACTGCACTAAAGTGGTTTGTTCATTGATATAGATGAAAAGTCAATATGACATGATTAGTATTGTGTAGCATGATCAAAGAGACTTGCTTGCAATTTGATGGGGCTTTTTAGAGGGCTAGGGGACTGGTATTTTTGGGTCTACCTTAAGGCTGTGTTTGGAAACGATGCAAATGAAGTGTAAATCCCGGTTCAGGGTAAATTTGCACTTTAGTTCACTTTTGCTTGTGTTTGACAACATTACATTTATGCATTGACAAATGACAGACCAATGCATATTTACATTGATAATAAGATGTAAAAATACATCAATAAAAAAGAAGTAAATTTGCATTCAAGTGGACTTTTGATAAGAAAAAAGCATATGCTTTATTTAAATTCATGTTTGCATCCATTACAGCTAAAAATCTGTTTGGTAAGAAGGTAAATTTGTCAGTGCAAAACTAACCCAATTTTGCAATTTATATGAACCGTTTTACACTTTACATATTTGCATTCACACTTATTTTCATCGTTTCCAAACGCAGCCTAAGAGATTTGGAAGTTATTTTTGTCTTTATTGGAAGGGGATTTTAGTTCTAGGAGAATAAGGGTTTTAAAATCACTGTGGTAGTTTCTTGTTAAAAAGAGGTGGTCGGTGTTTTTAGTAGCCAAATGGGGATGGCCTAGTTCATCGTTTCATGCTGTTGGCTTTCGGTACTAGCTTTCTCCTTATTTCAGTTGGAATTGGGGAATATTGAAAATGTAAATCTTTGTCATATCAGGTGCATGGGAGAAAGGATTGATCTCATCCTTTTCAAGGAGAGAGGAAAAACCATTTGTCAAATGGTCCATGCAGCTCTATTCTATGGCCTTTTTTTGCAAGTATAACAGAAAAATATTTCAGTAAAGAACACTATGCTTCTCAGGAAACAGGCAGTAGGCCAAACTAGTACAATGTACAGAATACAAAATCAGATCACCATGCAAGGTGTCACCCAAAACATAAAATGAAAAAGAGAAACCACCTTTTACAACTTACAACTTACAAATTACCACCTGGCCCTGGGCATCCCCCTTCTAGGCAATCCCTACTAACCCCAACCCCTGCTCTTGCCCAAGAGTCAGCCAGCAACATAGAGCTTCTAGGAACCCAATTGAACGAGGCACTCAAGGAGGCACCTAGTGAGTGAACCTGTCTCACCAATGTCCTAACTTCCCATGGAATCTGAACGTCTGTTCTCATCTAGCTTATAACTATTTGACAATCACCTTTGACTTGCACATTCCTCTGTTCCTGTGTCACCAATAATTTCAGATATTGAATGAAGGCCAAAAGTTCAGCCCTCAGGGAGTTACCATAACCATCCGAACCTGAATAGCTTAGAATTATGTTACCATCATGATCCTTAACAATTCCATCCACCCCAAAAGCCCCTAGGTTTTCAAGACATCATCTGTCAAAGTTTAGTTTGACCATCCCTTTTATAGGAGAGGAGCACTCAACTATTCTTTGTTGTCTTATTGTTTGAAAGTCAGCAACAACCTGTCACCCCCTTAGCAGATCATTTAGGGAGATACCTCTGAAAATGTCACAAACCACAGCCCAATGAACGGCCCTATTCTGTGGTCATATCTTGATGGCTGCTAGAATTCTTACAGAAAGATTCTCACTGACACACTTCAATTACTAGTTGATTTTCTTGCTACCATTGCTTTCCACAAATTCAACTTTGCGTTCTAAAGATTTATTTTCCATATACTTGAATCCATTACTTAGTCGTCTTCAGTGAAATCAGCATTTGCTAGCAAGAAATATTTAAATGCAGCCTAATTACGACATCTTGTGCTAAAAGCATATGAATTATGCTCTAGTTTAGTATCCATCTTATAGAATGTTGATCTGATGGTACATTAGATTCTCTTCTTGGTGTGATGCAGATCTGAGTCCCCAAGACTCGACTCTATTATCAGATATTGTTGAAGTTGGTCCACTTCCAAGCTTTATACGAGAAGATGAACATACGCGATATTCATTTTATATCTTAACTCGTCATGGACTGCGGTATGAGTGCTCGAGTATTTCTGAAATACAGGTGCATCTAGTTCTCCTGAAACTTGGATTAATATTATCAGTGGGTGGTGGAGTAGATAGATGGATAGATATAGTTCTGTAATTTAAATTAATAAGATAAATGTGCTTAATCTTGCTTGGGTTCTAAAACTTCATCTTCTCCCTCGTGGACATGCATGGAAAGTAAAAAGTCTGTTTGACATCTTTGCTTATTTTTTCAGGTGGGTTCTTGGTTGGCAGCTTTGCGAACTGACTGTAAATTGGAATCTAATACAACTGCTCTCAAAGACTTAAGCTAATTGTAGCATGTATGCACATTCTCCTAAGCTGTAAATAGATTAGACTGTTAGTGGAATTTGTGTCATTACAATAATGGAGTTAAAATGTGATTTCTTCCGGCCTTTCATTTCTTCTTTTATTTATTTATTTATTTTGGTTCTGTATCATGGAGTTCAAATATGATTAAACAAGTCATTCTTTATGCTCCTGTACATTTCTCGGCAGCATATTAGAAGTTAAGGTGTTCATCATCAAATATAATGCTGCAACCCTGGATTTATCATTTCACTTGCAAATTGGAACCAGTTCTACTTAGAGTGACCTTGTAGAGTATGGAAAGAACAATTCCTAATTTCCTATGAGGAATCTATGCTTGGTTTGGCTACTATGTTCAAGATGGGATAGAGTTGGGGGTTTGGGTACATTGAGAGGGGCGTTCCTTTTTTGGATTTTGAGAGGGGGAGAAAGTTGGTCAATGGGATTTTGGTTCCCATTGACTAAGAATCCCATGTTCTTTTTTCAGATTTATGTGAAGACCATGGAAAGTTTATTTCCCAAGTTCACATCTGTGCCCCACAACATCTTACAGCACATCCCGGCCGTGTATTGGGAGCATCTCCCAATGATAGTACCACAACCGATGATGTCATCATCGAGAGATGTTTCCAATACACGGTGGGGATGTGCTGTGGGATGTTGTGGGGCGCCTCCATGTGGGGCACAGATCTGAACTCTATTTCCCTGGGTATCACTGGAATGGGATCTGCTCCTCACACATGGGTGCCTCACAGACATATCCACCGTGTATTGGGAACATCTCCCATGAATAATAACTTATAAGTACAAGAGATGTTCCCGATGCATGGTAGGATGTGCATGTGAGGTTGGTGTGAGGCGCCCTTGGTGAGGAGTAGATCCGGTCTCGGGTAAGTGATGCCCATCTCCTAGGTGGGTAAATAACTTTCCCACCTAGGAGGAAAGTTGCCAACACTTGAATGGGACAAAAATGCTATTTTTAATAATGGATTTTTATGGTTAAAATGGTCATTGCCTTATTTACATGAGAAATAAAAGAACATGGGTAAATGCACTTACCTGGGTAAGTGTTTCCAAGAAACTTGCCTAGGTAACTGCATTTACCCGGGTAAGTAACTTACCAAAAAGCAAACGGGGCCGAGATGTTAGGTGAACCTCTAGATGGCATATAAGACAGTTACTTGCTTAAGTTGAGTTGTTCCCTGGTGCTTAACATGGTCTCACCACCATCACAAGTCCTCGATGCACATGCACACGTGACCATCAACATTGCCACGATTTCCATAATTTAAACGGAAAAGTACGGACAGACTCAATGCAGATTTCTGATTTCCATTGCAGAGCTATAAACATTTAAAATGTCAACAACCCACACTCTATGCACCAACGTCCGCTTGTGAATTGCCATCAATTCCAAGTTGGCACCTACCCCAACAATACTTTGGGCCTACAAATTCTGACCCTGGGTTGAACCGTCATTCTCCCTAATTTAAATCCATCTCAAGACTAACTTAGCTACATTTAATTGAAGCAAACATGTTATTAAGTGGCAAGTTGGTACTTAGGTACCTACTCAAGAACCCTACTCACATATCATCCGCACATTGGGAACATCTTCGATATTGAGGAGTGCTGCCAGCTGCTCTAAGGATCAGGCCCAGCATTATGAGCACGTTCAATGAACACTATATTCTGAGTTCTGACAACTATATTGTTTTTAATCTTTTTTAAGGGTAGGGCCGGTAGGCTGCAATTTTTCTTAAGAAATAAGTGTCAGAATTTTTAAGTACTCATTTAATGTGCTTACCATCTGTGCCTATCTGATCTGGACTGTGCTCTGAGCACATTTTAGCTTTTGAATGGATGAGTGCAAAAAATACGAATGGTTGGTCATTTTGACACGTGTGTTCCCAAAATAGCCACTTTGTGGAGTAAAAAAAAGAGGTATCCGGTCCACCTTGACCAAAATTGGGTTAAGTTCCTTCTGAATTCGAATTTGATTAATTTAAAGGGAAAATTCATTATCAGTACCATGTACTTTGGCTCAAGTGATAATTTGGACCCGGATTTTAAAATGTGACAATCCAGAATCCGAACTTTCAAAATGTAACAATTTAATACCTGGACTTTTAAAATGTGACAATCCAGTACTTGTCATTAACTAGTCTATTAAACAGCTGTTAAGTAACATTTGAAAAGTAAAAAATGTCCTTCAAATGCCATCTAATTTTCTTTATCAACCATACAAATGTTGACAAAAAACTGAACAGTCTCAAATCCTATCATCTTCTATTCAAAAACATTGGTGACTGTTTAGAAGAGTCTAGAATTTGGAATTGTTCATTTTATTGTCAATGTTTGGATGGTTGATAAAGAGAATTAGATGGCATTCTAAGGGCATTTTTTACTTTTTAAATGTCATTTAACGGTTGATTAACAGATTGGTTAATGGCAGGTATTGGATTGTCACATTTTGAAATTTCAGGTATTGAATTGTCACATTTTAAAAGTTCGGATACTGAATTAACCAATCAGGCCTACATGGATATCGGTGGAAATTGGAAAATTAAGATACATGCATAAATGAAATTAAATCCCATATACATGCATAGTATAACATCTGAAAAAATGTTTTAGTAGATTATGTGAAATTGTGAAGTGTGGATTATTAGGGCATGTTTATAAAAAACATTGAAAGAATAGTAAAAGACAATTGAAATCAATAAAGGTTACTTATTCTAAATAATCACTTAATTATTTTATTTTTTCTCGTTGGTATAGTAATCTGTACCATTTATAAAAATGAGGATGTTAACAATTTTTACTCAAAAAACCTGATTTTACTTTTCCTTTTTACCCTTTATGATTATTGTTTTTCCAATAGTTTATTTAACTGTCATGATTCATGATTTTTGTTAACAATTTTTAGTCAAAAAACCTTATTTTACTTTCCCTTTTTACTCTATGATTTTTGTTTTTTCAATAATTTATTTAACTATCATGATTCATGAGGCCACACATTGTCCATCGAACTTTTTCCAACGATAAAAAATGAGAATGCAAACTGTTAACATGGTTGTATCTTGATTTTACTTTCCATCTTTACCTTAACAATTTTTGTTTTCCATTTTTTTTTTTGATCTCAAGTATTTTATCTTATTATAAATGGCCACATACGCTCTCCAGTGGTGACCTTGTTGCTACCTACTATTTTCATTTAACTCATTGCAACTGTTCAAAATTTTTCATCAATTAAACACATGACACATAAGGACTGCTAAATGGTGATTGGAGTTATCGTTATTTATGCTTTTGCTGAAATCATATATCAATCAATTATTCTATAAATTCACCCTGATATTTAGAATAAAAATTAAAAATTCATGAGCCTCACTTAGGATTAACATAGTGCATGTGAAATCATCTAGACACTAAAACTTGAAAAGAATACAAAAGACACCTCTTCTTGAATTAGTATTAATTTTAGTTAGATAATAAGAATCCTATTATGGGAATATGGGCTTAATATTAATTTTAGTACTAAAAAATGAGAACATTGCAAATGGTTTGGTCAAAACACCATGATTTTACTTTTCAACTTTATCCTCAACTTTCTATTTTTTTTTCAAATGAAGAAAATAATATAAATTACAAAAAAACAAAGAAATACATAGAAAATTTACAAAAAAAATATAGAAAATCATTGAAATTTCTATATCTATACTATACATATACTAAAAAAATGAGAATGTTGAAATTGATTTGGTCAAAACACCCTAATTTTACTTTCCAACTTTGCCCTAAACTTTCTATTTTTTCTCATTGTATATATGTCATTGCAAAATAATTATGAAAAATCACATAAATAAAGAAACAATATAAATTACAAAAAACAAAGAAATACATAGAAAATTTACAAAAAATATAGAAAATCATAAAAATTGAAGAAAAATAACATAAATTACAAATCTATACCATACCGAAAAATGAGAATGTTGCAATTGGTTTGGTCAAAAGACTTTGATTTTACTTTTCAACTTTACCCTCAACTTTTTATTTTTTTTCCCATTGTATATATTGTTATTGCAAAATAATTGTTAAAAAAACACCAAAAATGAAGAAAATAATATAAATTACAAAAAAACATAGAAACATAGAGAAAATTTATAAAAAATATAAAAAAAATCACAAGAATTGAAGAAAAGAACATAAGTTACAAAAATACAAAGAAAAATCATAAATTACAAAAAATGAACAAAAAATATAGAATAAAATAAGAATTTATATCTACTACCATATATAAAAAATGAGAATGATTCAGTTAGTGTGGTCAAAAGACCCTGATTTTTCATACCAATATTACCCCTTAGTTTTTTTGTTTTTCCAACATATCCCAATTCTATTAGAGGGTGCATGATGGTAGTTGGCAAAAAAAAAAAAAACCATTGTCTTTTCTAAAGAGGCATTGGGTGGGCACCTGACCCATCAACCCATTACTGATCCACTTTGGGTTCAACCCAAACCCACCATATCCCAACCCAACCTGCCCAACCCATTATTTTTTCACATAATACATAAATTCTAGAAAAATATAACTATAAAAAATACACAATATACAAATAAAGGTAGAAAATTTAAAAAATAGCATAAGTTAAAGAAAAAAATAAAAAATGCAAGATAATTATGAAAAGCATAGAAAAGGAAGAAAATAATATAAACTACAAAAAATAGAGAAATACATAGAAAATTTACAAAAACAAATGTAGAAAATCATAAAAATTGATGAAAAACAATAGAAACTACAACAAACAAAGAAAATCGTAAATTACGAAAAAATGAATAGAAATTGCAAAATAAAAAATTATAGAAAAATATAACAAAAAATACACAAAATACAAAAATTTCATTCCATGGGCCTTAGACATGTTTGTCAGTTGGACCCATGTCTTATAAGGGCATTTGGCCTCTGGGACCGTATGTTATCATGTGTATGGTCGTTAAGTAGGGCTTGCAACTCATGTCCTTAGTTGTAGGCAACATTGTGAGACATTATGAATTGTTCAATTATTTTATTCTTGGATAAATGTGCAGAGGTGATCAATGTGCCTAGAAGGTGTTTGCATACATGCTACTTTAGTGGCTGGTTGATAAATTTTGCTTCCAAATAATTGAGTAAATTAACATAATAGCTTAATTTACTTCTAACCATTAATAGTAATTATTTTCATAGGTTTTAGGTTATCATAAAACAGGAGATCGGTTAAGAGTGACATCTCCAATTCTCCATAAATTTTGTGTTTCATTGGAATGAACTATATCTATATATGATGTTGAATGTAATTTTATCATTGATATGGTGCATTAATGTTTCAATCTGATGTATTTGCAATCAACCTTTTATAAATTATAAAATTCAGATCTTGGCATTTTATGAGGATAGTCTTTTTTTATATATTATATAGTTGTCTTAGAACTTGAACAGTATGTGAACTTTCATCTATGCCCGAGATGTAAAAGCATAGCCTAACATCACCATCAATATCAAATACCCCGTGCATCGCACAGGCCATTCCACTAGTAAGAAAAAAATTGATAAAATGGCTTAAAGAGTTAAAATTTAAAGCACATGTCGTTTTGGTAAGTTTTAGTGTTATAGAAAAATCCTTCTCTCTCATTTGGATGAATTTTTCAAGTCTCACTTAGGATCTACTACTGGCAGCCTGGCACCATCACTTGCAATGTATCTAATCCTCAGTGAACACGTCAATATTAGTGCGTTCACTTTAGATTGGCTACGTAGCAAGTGATACATAGCCGTGCAAGCAGTAGATATGGGCTTTTATTTTTGACACAAGACTTTTTTGATCTAAGAAATTTTCACAAGGTTTTCTAACCGCCATTGATTCGAACGGTTGGACCGTTCGGCTTGGGAACTGTCCAAGCAATCGGTTCTGTTTTCCTTCAAACCTGGTTTTGGTAAAAATCGTTGAAAAAGTTAACAATTTGTTGACCCAGGCGGTCGAACCATTTTTTTAATTTTTTAATTTATTTGTCAGAACGGGCCGTCCGTTCGAACTGGATGGTCAGACAATCGATCCAAAAACCGGTGGCCAGAACGGTTCCGTTTCCAGGTCGTTTTTTAAAACGATGATTTTTTACTTAGATAATCTATTTCATATGGACCCAATAAATGGTAGGTCTTGATCCTCTATTGAATTAGATAGTTTGGATCTGCTGACTACAATACATTGCTAGTCACGTTCACCCAACCATATATTGGGAATATTGGTGAATGGTGAGGTGTTCACAATTTGCAGCTAGGTCAATATGGCCAACAATGTGTTGTGGTAAACAGATCCAAATGTGGGGAAGACCAAGGTGCCCATGAGGCCCATTAGGATCAGGCTGTGGCTTTGCGGGTTTGATCTTGCACCTCCTAATTGGAGGAATTGGAGAAGGTGCTAAGTGACCATCACAACTATTGGGTTATCAATGTCTTATAACTTGGCTGCATTTGGTAAAAGTGTAAATGCTAATGTGTTTGATTCATGAAGATGTAAACTTGATTTGGTTTTGCATTGATAATTTTTATATTGTATTTAGTTGTAATTGGTACAAATATGAATTTCGAGACTATAATATACATTTTTTTTTACATTGATAATCTTTGAGTGCAAAAATGCACTTCCGTCTTGGATGCAAAGACATGAAAAAACAAATTCACTTTTTATCCTATCATTTGCAAGAAAATGTAATTTGATTAATGATAATGGAATCCATCTTAAATCTTAGACTTGTTTTTGGAAATGCTTATCTAACTGGCCTTTTTCATGTTGAAGAAGCCAAAAGCAAGTTTGGACCTCCTGAAAGCAAAAAATTGTGCACACACCCTAAGGGCATGGCATCCAACTGCACATAAAGGAATCTCCTATATTTTTGCTTTTCAAGAAACCCCACCTCATCCAAAACAGTCAAAACATTGTTTGATGAAAAAGTTCCAATGTTTTTTTTTTTGCCACAATGGGTTTCTAAAAGAAGCCACTTTTGAAATGTTTTCATCCTTCTAACAAAAAACATTTTTTTTAGTTTTTTGTTGCTTACCAACTTTTTTTTGTTCAACATAATTTTTCACTTTTTTGTAAACATAAAAAGCTAAATGGAGTATTTTTCCTTGCTTTTTCAAATGCTTTTTATGAAAAAAAGCCCAATTTTGAGCTTTTTTGCCAAACGATTTTTTGATTGGCTTCTAGCTTTGAATCACAACAAGCCTGTTAGAGAATCACTTGCAAGCGCCCCTTACCCTTTCATGTTTTTGAATAAGAAAGTTTGTGATCAATCAAAAAAGTATCAGACACTAAGGTTGTGTTTGGTTTGAAGGAAAGGAAAGGAAGGGAAAGGAAAGTAAGGGAAGGGAAGAAAAAAAATTTCCCTATCCATTGTTTGGTTAACCAATGGAAAAGGTAAGTAAAATTAATTTTCCCTTATTTGGTGAGGCAAGGAAAACATATGAAAAATTAATAATCATGGGTCCCACAACTATTATACATAAAAGATATGCTCATACTTAGCCATTTCTTCAACTAATATCAATTTCAAAATGACAAGAAAATGCATATCACTATTTATATAGAAGTATATCAAAATTGTCATTGTTCTCTGAATCCTCCACTTCCACATTGTCATTGCTCAAGGGGAAGCAGAAATAGAGGCCTTCAAGAGATCAAAGCTTTGGTCTGATAGAATCACTCCCCAACAGGACCTGAATATACCATCTATATGTCACCAGTGTGGTTTCTAAATGCTTCTCCTATTGCTTTCTTTGAAATGGGGAAACTCTGGCAAGGGTATTAGTTTCCTTAAGAAATATTGATATGTCACACTTCCACGATTGACAAATTTTTTGCCATAATAGTGTTTACATTACTATCACTCATTTTATTTTAAAATAAAAGAAGTCACATCCTTTCATCTTTTCTTTTAAGAAGACAAAGGTAATAATAAAGATTAAAAAATGCCACCAGAAATTGGAGCTTTCTGTTGGAAAGTATATCAGTCTAAATAACTCCTGTAAAGGTCTAGAGGAGGCCCTCTCTCTCTACCAAAGAAGCGAGGAAAAAATTCATTGGAGGTGTAAATGGGTGGTGGTAAAGACAGTCATGAGAGGCTATTAGCAATAATATTTTGGTAAGATAAGCCCATTAGATAAAGTCACCAAACATGTTTTCACTCATATTTGTAAATGGTATCTTCAAGAAATTGTAGTTTATGGGGGAATCCTCTTCTAGAAAGATACTTGTCCTCAACTGGCTGGTTCCTTCCCCTCAATGTCATTAAATTGAACTCCAATAGATGGTATATTGGTAATCCAGGAAAAGTTCAGGTGTTGAACCCATTCCGTTGACATTTGATGCCATTAATGGTGGCTTGATTCTGAACAACATTATGGGATGATTAATTTCATGCAACATTCCTCAGATTACTTAATGGTGGCTTGAGCTTAATTCTAATCAGGTTTTTTTTTTTGTGTGTGTGTGTATGTGGTCTAGCTTATTGGATTTGTATCATGTGCCTCCACTGAAACTACTAATTATCTATCATTTAAGATGAAACTTTCACTGTTGTCAATACACACCTCTTCCTACTTAAATCAATAATATGAAAAGTGAACCATGACTAACATAGTTCAAGAACATAATGTGAAAAAGTGCAAATGGAATTTTATAGGTTATTTAACTTAAACCAGAAATTCATCAAAAGAAAAAATTAGACAAGCATTACATTACATTTCTTTGTATCTAGTAACTGCTTTTATCTTTTTCTTTTTAATCACCATTATTAATCTACCTAATAATATGGATCTTATAATAAAATTTAACATTTCTGCATGTGTATGTCTAGAATATTTCTTTTTATTTTCCTGAAATTATGGACATCATAATGATTAAAATAGCAAAGTATTTATGATACTTCTGTTGGTGTTCTCCTACAGGATGAAACAAAGGTTTATAAGAAATTGCTTCAATAGATGGACCACATAGGCCCACATATTTCTTCTACCTAAGGTCTGAGGCATGCATATTCAAAGCTTGCCAAGTAGTAAAGAAGGCCAAAGTGTATGTTATAGTAAATCTTAAAAGTGATGTTTTATTTATTTTATTTTATTTTTTATTTTCTTGATTTTTCAGGCTCATAGGTGATTGCCATACTGACCATGGACAATAATAAGATAGAGGAAGTTGGACTGAACATAGGGCACCTTCATGCATGTCTTATCTAAAACTTTTGGTATCCACAAGACCACAATTACAAAGGTACTTCAATGTTGGAAGTTAGACTGAAAACAGGGCACCTTCTTGCTAGGCCATCTTCTGTCTTTGAGGCAAAGACCTATTAAAGTCCTTGCCATATCTAAGGTGGGAAGTAAATAATATAGCTACATGAGTACAATGATGTGGCTGTTAAGTCCTTGTTTGGTTTTGACTAAGCACTGAGTCCCAATTCAATGATATACTGATGAAACAAAAAACTCCTTATAATCTGGAGTTGGATGATCTGTCATACTCGAGTTTAATGAGGCCTTAGGCCAGTCCAGTTGGGTCTTGGGTTTGCCCAAACCCATTGGCAACCCTATAAATGATATGGTTGCATGAGTATCAAACAATACCATTAAATAATTTTTTTGGTAGAGTAGCCTCTGTTAATGCTCAAATATTTTTCCATCATACCATATGGACATGGTCACCTCATCCACCAACTGCTCAGAGAGAAGTCCCACCCTGCTTTTAATGTTGAGATAAAGATAAAATAGCAAGTCCTCCTAAACGTCACAGAGGACGGGTTAAAAACACAACAAACAGATAGTGGTAACAATGTAAACAAATGGACATCTCACAAATCACAAAATACTAGGATTATAGCCACCACTGACATAATGCGAAAGTGGTAAAGAAGTAGTATTCACATCACAGCCAAAGGTCTGAAGCCTTAGAACCAGTAAACTGATAACATTGTAGAACAACTTAGAAGAAACCCAAACATAAGAACACTTTCACATACCATGACAACATTGAGGAATTAAATCTTAACTACCAACTTTCAGGCATAACATCGACAGAAGAGGTAGAAAGACAAGCATCACTCCATATTACACAACACAAATACAGTAGATATTTACAAAGCATGATTTCCTACAGATGAAAATGAATTTAGCGACAGATTAAGGACGCGTGCATTGCTTTTTATCAGTTTGTAAGATACATTTATTGTCAACCTAGTCACACCATACGCCCCTTGAACACTGAATATCTCAAGTAAAGCAAACCATCAATCATATGACAAATGAATGAACCAAAAACTAGCACTAGGACTATAAACAATAGGCAAGTCAACTTTCTCATAATAAAATGTGCAGACCATGCATCAACCAATTAGACCAGATATTCTACACCAAGTCACAATTGACATGTAGGGATGAAAATGCAAGGAGACAAAACACTTGGTTTGACCTATCCCTTTAAAAGGTTCAAAGGTCTGGAACACCAAGTTATTGCTTATTCCTCTCAAAATTTGAAGCACCAAGTTATTGTTCATTCCTAAGAAGAATCTCAAATGCTTAGATTAAAATCATCATCAAAATACACAAATGCTGATTTTGTCCCAGTGTTCAAAATCAATTAAAATCCCAAACCTTAATACGGAGGAAACAACCCTTTCAACAGAAATAAGCTTCTGCATTTTGTGCCATATCACTAGAATCAAGTGCAAAACATTCACTATGAAAGATGCTAGTGATAAAATGTGCACAAAAAGACGATTGTTGGATATTGATTAATCGTATACTTCTACATATTATTATTTTGTGAACTCAATAGATTTTTATACAATTTGGAATTTAGAAAGTACAATCATATAAGGTCATTATTTAATAAACCCTATGGAGTACAATTATATATGGTCATTCAATAAACCCTATGGAGTTGGGCATAAGAAATCTGCAGTGGCCAAACAACTACTCTCTTGGTTCTATGATCAATACAATTTGGTAACCAGTGGGCCAAAGAAAAAAATAATTGGCTAAACTAAAACAAGATACTAACAAATCAAATGAGAACAACAACATAATGAGATCAAAATTACAGGACAAGGCATCAACATTTTAATAGAGATATCCTTGGCAAAAAGACAACGTGGGATTTAAGAGGAAGCTATATCATTTGCCCAACTTACTGCATCTTTGTCTGTATTTGGCATCTTAGCATCTCAGTCTAAGGAGTTCGTTCATCCATGTGGATTTCCCCTATAAAAGGTTGTTATCATATCAACTCTTTAAAGTTCACTTCTCAATAATACCATATATCAACCACAGTAGATGATGTTCATGATGAGTCAGCATCTACAAATATTATCCGGGAGGCCCAGGCACCAGAAACGGGCATCCATGGACTCAGTCATTGTATGCCATAAAACAAAGGATTAAATTCCCTAGAATTCTTATAGTTATAGGTAGCAACCATAAACAAGATCTGTACATTGAGCTGTCATCTACACAAATGATCCAGTGGAACCAAACACCAAGCTAACAACTGGATATCCCCATGAACTCTCAAAAGCATGTCAGCAACAGAACACAATTGAAGGAATTGTTAATTATAATTACAATTGATGAGGGCAGATTTGGCCCTCCACTGACATCATGACGCATGGCATATCAGAACAGCTGGAGTACATCCCAGCATCACCTAGGCGACAACTTGCCTTAGTCAAAATGGGGTCCTAGCTGGCGACCTGCCTCTGCCGCCAACCTGGTGACCTACTTCTACTGCCAACATGGCGACCTGCCTCTACTGCCGACCTGGCAACCTACTTCTGCTGCCGACCTAGAGACCTACCTCTGTCGTCGACTTGGCGATCTACTTCTATCGCCGACCTGGCAAACTACCTCTGCCATCGACCTAACGACATGTCTCTGTTGCCGACCTGGTGACCTAGCAATCTACCTCTATCGCCAACCTGGTGACCTACCTTTCTAGAAGCTTGCCAGTTGTCTTCGAACCTTTCAGGATCACGCCGTGTAACCGTAGGCCTTATCCTCATCCCGCCCGAATTAGAGGGAAATGGTAAGCCTTATTAATTGGCACGCTATCCTCCTTCCAATGCGGAATGGACCTCTACGTCGTGGGCCAAGGATTCCGGGAGCGTTTTGCGAGACCCACGACAACCCAACTATATAAGGGCATCAGCCCCTGAGACCTAGGTAGATGCGCAATTTTTAGTTCTCGCAGCTCTCGCAGCTCTCTCACATTTTGCAATCTTAAAATCTCTGATTCGCTAACTTAAGCATTGGAGTGCCCACCCCGGGTAAAGCAACCCGAGCACTCTGACAATGTTTCCTTGTAGGTCACATTAGAGCCACCTCTCCAGCTCGTCACCATTCAGCTAGGCATCAGAGACACCTCTTCAGCTTGTCACCATTTAGCTAGGCATCAAACCACCTTTACAGCTCGTTACCACTCAATTAGGCATCAAAGCCACCTTTCCAGCTCGTCACCATTTAGCTAGGCATCAGAGCCACCTCTCCAGCTCGTCACCATTCAGCTAGGCGTCCAAGCCACCTTCCAGGTAGGAACCATTCAACTAGGTGTCCAAGCCACCTTCCACGTAGGGATTATTCAGCCAAGCATCTGAGTCACTAGCCAGTTGAGAGCTGCCAAAATGCGCATCATCAACAACCAAGCAGATGCGAACTTCTAGACACTACTGAAGAGTAACATAAATAATAAACATATGCAAAACTCTCTATACACATTAGAGAAGAAGAAGAAGAGAGGTTCAGATTCAAACTAGATGAAACCGCAAGTTTCAGATTCGAATTTATCTCTGCTTTTCACTTATAGTTGCTGGAATTCGATAAATTGATTTACTATTCGAACAAGATGAAACCACAAGTTTCAGATTCGAATTTATCTCTGCTTTTCACTTCTAGTTGCTGGAATTCGGTAAATTGATTTACTATACCGTTGTTTCTTCAGAACATGAAAATCTCAATAGAAGGAGAGGCTCTCGATTTTTTTCCTCACATTTACTTTCATTTTCGAGGGAAGTGGTTTCCGACCGAAATGGAAGGATCCCGCTTCCTCATTTTCATGATTTTAAATCCTCCCATTTTCCTTCCTTCATTTATGATCAAAACAAACAAGGAAAGATTTGGAATCTTTTGAATTATTCCAAAATTTCCCTTCCTTTCCTTCAAACCAAACACAGCCTAAGAGTGTTTTTCAAAAAAAAAAAAAAACTCATTTCAAAAAGTAGATTCTTTCATAAGCCCATTTATGAGCGAAAAGAAAAGCACTCCTAGTCCCAGACACGGCCCGCATGTCCCCAACGGCCCAACTCCAATCGGCAATTTAGCTCGTGCCCTTTAAAGTAAAATAATGGCACCATTGCAAAAAACACGAAAGGTTTATCTCACAGGTTTCATGTGTGGCTAAAAACGTAACCCCACCTTGGGCGTGAAACAAAAGCAATCTATCTAAAACTGAACACGCGTAAGCTGCACCGTCGAAAGTGGCGATGGGTGGGCCTGGGCCCTTTTGTCAAACAAACCAAATTAACTCATTCGTTGACGATGCCGTTACACAGAAAGCCCATTATGACGAAAAAATTCTATAGCTTTTCTGTTAATTCCGTCTATGTCTGGTGGCATTCTACTGCGGTTACTTCCCTTATCTTGCTTCGTCGTCGAAAGAAGTGGGTGAGAAACTGAGAGTGAGATCATCACTTGGACATAGTCGGGATTAAAGAATAAAAAAGGGTACATTAACGAAATCCCAACGAGTTGCAGAGTCCGTCTACGACTCTGTCACTCTGACTCTGGTGTGGCGATGAAACAGAAACGAGAACTGCGGGAAATATAAATAGTAAAAAATATTCATTAAATAGCAAGTTCGCTATAATTTGGCTGGTCCATCGAAACCCTAACATAACCCTGAAGAGTGAGGAAACCATCTGCTTCAATTGCAACCACAGAGAGGGAGGAAGCTACATCTTCTCTTCTCATTTCGAGTGGATTTACCGGTTAATCTCTGCTACGGCAATCGAAGATGAACTTTCATATCTTCAGATCTGCTTCTAGGACTGTTAGGACCATTATTTCTGCTTCCAAGAGCTCCCCTCTTTTGGCTGGTGAGGCGTCATCTTCTTTTCTTCCCCTACTTTTCCTCCTAGTGATTTACGTCAACCTGAGAAATGTGCATATGTTTCGTAGATGTTCTTTTCTGATTTATTTTCCGTGGTTGAAAGTATAGGTCGTGAATTGCTTGAATAAAAAATTTTCCCCCTCGTATCTGGTTTTAAGTCTCTCTCGATTATTCTGCCATAGTTAATTGTTAATACATATATTTTTAACCTCACGTGTTCTTCTCATGCGCAGAAGGGCGAGCTGTCGCAGCAGCAACCGCAACCTCATTCAGGGGAAAGGTGCCTTCTTCGGCTTCATTTTATGGAAGGGCTGGTTCTAGGAGTTCTTCTAGAGGATGGATTTCAGGAGCACTTGCACTTCCAGCTGCAGGTTTGTGCATTTTATTTCTCCTTTATTTTATTCTCTTTTTTTTTTCTTTACATTATTTTGGTTTCCATCCATGTGCATGCAACTAAACAATTAAGAAATGTTTTGGAAGTTGCAATGCCATTTTGTTTGTTATTATACATACACCTTTTAGATCTGGTTTCAAATGAAACCGTGTTGTTTTTTCGCATTTCTGGAAGATGAATGTAAAGTTGTGTGTTTTTTTCTCCCTTTATCTCAATGTCTGTGCTTTATAAACCCCTTTCCGGAAAGAAAGGATATGATGGATCAAAAGTAAAAGGTCTGAGTAGGATAGTATTGATGGCGATGATCAGATCATCTTGGGGAAAAGAGGAAGAGGGCCCTTGCCCTTGTTGAAGTTATAACATTGTGGTTCTCGCAACCTCTTCTACAACAAATTCTACCAGCTTAGGCATGGTGGCGGGTTGAAACAAAAGGCGTGGGTCGCATTCTAGGTTTGAATGCCGACCTAGACTTCTCCCGACATCATATCTTGGTCCCCTACATCTATCAACTGCCGTCATACTTTCTGCATTGATCAAACCTCCTAACTGATCCTTTCACCGGTTGCATTGGTTATCTCACTGTCTATCATATACATAAATCTACTCTTGTTATTTTCCAGGAACATTTTTTTTATCAAAGTTTTAACTTTGTACAGTTATGGTTATTAAAAAATTGTGCATACAATTTCCATCTTAAATACGCTATGATCTCCAAATTTAAAAATGCTAAAGTAGTCAACTTGTGTGATAAAAAACCAGTCTATTTTGATTTTTGAGCATCTGCAGATATTATTTATGATGCATTTTTCTGAAATATGGAGCAACAGGCATCTTAAATACCATAGGGAAGGTCTTATAAGTAAATGCCTATGATGGAAAGGTGCAAAAAGAAAGTATAATGTGCAAGTAAAATAAATGCAGGGGGCTGGGAACTAATATCTGTTGAGAAAGTCCCTTGCTGGAGGTTATTCTTTGCCAAAGAATTACTTGATTGAATCATCTAATTTTATTGCATTCATTGGAGTGTGTAGAAAGGGGTCATTGCTTGCTGCAATGGTAAAATCTTGGGCTAACAAGTGTGGGATTGTAGCTTCGAGTTGTTCGACCCCTTTGTGCAAGAAATTGCTAAAGGTTAGTTCTGTACCCACTGTACCCCTCCCCAGACCTTGGAAGGCTGGGACCAATATTGAGTAATGGCACTGAAATGTTCACAAATGGTCTGGTGGGTGGTCCATTTTTGATCTAAAAGATCATCTGATAAGGTTGATATTAAGCGTAGGAAATTGCTAGGTTCAAACCTATTAAACAAAAATTATGGTACCCAAACCCCATCCATTTCGTTGGTTGCCACATGCACTGCTATCCTATCTATTCTTACGGTGTCTTATCTAATAGCTACTTCTCATTACATCTAGTATGCAGTTTTACAACAAATTTTTGGTGTGTTTCTGATGCAAAATTCTATTAATATGATGATTAAGTCATCCATTTTTGTGTTGTTCTCAAAGTGAAAAAAATTAGTGTCAAGGAATAGTTTTTTAGCAAGTCTCTGGGATTTTTTACTTGTACAGCATTATGATTAAGCTTATTTTTGTTCTTCAAATTCTGATGCTAATTTTATTGCCTTTTCTTTTCCTCATAGTTTGCATGCTCCAGGAGCAGGAGGCACATGCTGCAGAGGTACTCCAATAGTGTTTACTTGCTTCCTTTCCTTCACTAATGAAATGTCTCTTCTGTTTTTTCTTTTTCATCATTTATGTTTGGTATCTCACCTTTTTTTCCTAAATCCAGATGGAACGTACTTTCATTGCTATTAAGCCTGATGGAGTGCAGAGAGGGCTGGTAAGATAATCTTCACTTGTGTTTCTTCCCCTTTGTGCCAAATCGTAGACCATTTCATTAGGACACTTGTCTTTGTGATGGGACAGGCATATGAATCCAGCCTGAGATCATTTTTCATTTTCTTTTGTATTTCAGATTGCAGAAATAATTTCACGCTTTGAGCGTAAGGGCTTTAAACTTGTCGCTATAAAGTTGATTGCCCCTTCCAAGGAATTTGCCCAGAAGCATTATCATGATCTCAAGGACCGGCCTTTCTTTAATGGCCTTTGCGATTTCCTCAGTTCGGGTCCTGTCCTTGCCATGGTCAGATAAAAAAATGACACTCTTCTCTCTTTGGCTAAGCAATTTCTGAATAGGGCTAAAGTACTAGACTCTAGTTGACTAAATTCTTATTAGGTTTGGGAAGGTGAAGGTGTTATAAAATATGGTCGGAAACTCATTGGAGCAACAGATCCACAAAAATCTGAGCCAGGAACTATCAGAGGTGACCTTGCTGTTGTTGTGGGAAGGTATCATTCTGATTTCTGAACCGGCGTTGTGTATATCCTGTTCATCCGATGTTCATATATTAGAGATTTCTAACTGGAAATGACCATGATACCTTGCTCAAATATATGAATATTTGCAAAACAAAGCATGTGCTTAATCAAATTATGGCAATGCTTTATGTGGTTTAAGATGTTTTTACACTCTTCCATATCATCATCATGATGGAGTTGGTAATACAAGGTTTTAAATGTTGATATAGTATATGCAATACAGGAAACATCATGTTGGTTTGTTAACTGATGAACACATTATCAGTGGAGTGGCCTGGTTGTAGTGCCATTCCTACCCATGACCATTTGTATCGTTTGTATGGCCACATGGTTGCTGTATCCAATGAACTCAAACTTTAAATTTCCTGCCCAATGTTAATTCCTATTTAGATTTTAGACCCCCTATTAAAAGTAATAATATTCCTATTAACTATTACTTAAAATTTTAAATTCAGCTGTTATGTTTAAACCTTTATTTAAAGCCCTATATAAACTCTTAGCTTCCTCTAAATTTCTCAAACATTTTGTGAATAGAAATTACATGTAGTTGTATAGACTATGGACTCGAACATGGGTCTGGTGATGGGTAAGAGTCTTCACCACTATACATAAAAAATCCTAAAATTACATTGCTTTTACCTTGTAAGTATCTTCTTAAATACCTTTTATGAACTCTCTTACTGGTAGTGAATGAACTAAGAACTGAAAAAGAAAGAAAATAATTGATTGATTATTGATATCAGTAATTTTTAAAATATCAATGAGATTTTAAAAATAAAAGGAAAATAAATAAATAATTATTAAAACTAGTATTTTAAGTTTCTAGTAATTTTTTAATCTGTTTTACGTTTAATCCACATAATCTGATTGTGGTTTTTCTATGCAGAAACATCATCCACGGAAGTGATGGACCTGAAACTGCGAAAGATGAAATCAATCTCTGGTTCAGGCCGGAGGAGTTGGTCAGCTACACAAGCCATGCAGAGAAGTGGGTTTATGGTGTCAACTAATCGTTAATTTTCCCTCTTTCTTTTCCTTTTACCTCCTGTTGGTGGAAGTTGCTTTCCCCCCTTTTTAGAATTCATTGATTAGTGGAAGCTGGAATTGCTTCCTTCTTCGGCTATCAGTCTCAGGTACGAGAGAGGTAGTAGGGTAGAATAAGCTTAACCTCAGCTGGGCATAGTCGTTAGAAAGTAAGAATAAGGCAGATTTCGCCGAGGGGATTGGCTCCTCATTCACTCACTGCCAACAATGGAAAAAACAGAATTTTGTGAAATAATATTAACTTGATCAATTCTCGATTCTCATGCCATTTATGAATTCTTTGTGGGAGTGTCGGATTAGTGCAAAGTTGCATTTTCAGCGCCTTTTGTAAAAGAAAATTTGGGCAAAATCTCGAGTTGTAAGTTCTCCTCCTTTGCCCCCCTGTTTTGTTTTGCAAATCCTCGTTAATTGCAACTTCAAATCGAGATCAAACATTCAGACATAATGAAATATTCAAGGATTTGGATTTGGATTTGGATTTGGATTGGTTCTTAGTTGTGTTCTGCTTTGTAATTTACATCAAATAAAAGACTAGGAGTTGGCAGAGACTTATCGACTAGTGCTCATAATTTGGAAATGAACACTCCAGTTGCATCGTGGTTAAAGTAATGCAGTTCTCCTTTCATGACGCACATAATTGTGCAAGCTAATGGTGCGATGCAGTTCTTAACTTATTATTACTCCTTGTACTAGGCACGTAACTTTCTCGGATGATTTTCAGTCGTCGTAATTCTGAATTGAGTTCCACTAATCGTAGCACGCGGTGCTCCCTTTTGAGCTCCAATGAAACGCGGGCACTAAGGGGATTTGCTCTCGGTTCCATCGAACAACTCAATCTTAAACAGTTAAGCGATAGGATTTTTCATTGTTTAAGTTTTAAATTGGATTTCAGTTTTTTATGGAATACAATATCCTTTTCAATAAATGGCAACAAAATAATTAAATAATTCTAAAAAATGGTAGCTAGTTTTGACACGTTGCTATGACTTTTTAGAGTGGAATTGGATGCATTGAATTGAAGTGGATGAAGAGAAGTCGGCCTTTTAGGGGATTCAAGCCACGTGGAAGATTCCTGTTTCACAGATATCTTCTCTAAACAATTGGACTATCAGATTTATCATTCATGTTCTACCAACACTCTTTATAAGTAGGATAGCATTTTGGCTTCGGGCTGGTCTTGGCCCGGAATGAGTTGTTCATGCTACTCTACATGAGCCCAACCGAAACAGTGTTTTATGGGGATTCTTGCTGGGCCCAGGCTGGTTCAATAAAATTTCATAGCAAATAAGCTCTTTTCCTTTTATTGACGTTACACTGGAATTGTTTTGGGTTTGAACTAGCCTAGCCCGGCCCAAGTTGCTGCCTTACGGGAGGTAGGAAAAAGGAAAAAGGAAAAAAAAAGCAAAACAGAAGAACAAAATATTCTTTGCAACGTCAATAAAAGGAAAGGAAAAAGCTTTGCTAGTTTTGACAAATTCCCATGAACACTAACTGCAACAATAAGTAATGGGCACGTGGAATTAGAAAGAATTAATTAAAAAACCGAACTACTTAAAGTGAGGTTAAGATTAAATCTAAAAAAAAGTTGCTTTATGACTTTTTTGCAGAACATACCGCCCCACTCATTAAGTTCAGTGGTTAAGATATGGTCCTCCATGAAATTCGTTAGTGGCCACCACACGAAGAGCCCTTATACGTTTCATGATTTGGTTATTTATCAGAGTTATTAAGCTTTTTAATCAGTACGGGAATCCCATATTATCAATATGGGGTGTTTAATTATGCACATTATTGTTTCCACTTAACGCCAGTATATATTAATATGACCAATAACAGGCTTAAACCATATTCTCATCATTACAGATGAGATGAGGCATGTTTGGGTGGGAACGCTCCCACCTGTGAAACTCAAGGAATTTTAACAGCCAAGTATTTGTAAACTCAAGGAATGGCTCGATACAAGGGGCCTCCCACGGTGTGAGATGTATTAGACAAAAAAATTTAATTAAGATGATATTTACGGATTTACCTCTTAATTTACCCTCTTGATTCGATGATGTAGGCGATGACATCGAGCCATTCCTTTTTAAAGAAACCTCTGAGTCTTCATAGGGGATGTATACCTACACAAAAGGCTCCCTCATTAAAGAAAATAAAACCTCTGAGTCTTTCATCATCATCTAAGCTTTGTCTCAAGTACGGGGTCGGCTACATGAATTGTGTTTTCGTTAAATTATAGGTGCTTTTACTATATAATTTTTTATTGCTTCCATTCAAGTCCTTTTCGGTCGGTTCTTAGATCTTCTAGCCTTTTCAACTTGCAATAGATTAACTGAATTAAACAATAAAATCAATTGTTCTCCTTCCTTTGTTTCTACTTCATATGAAGTGAGACTCACATCATTTCCCAATTTACCATTTACAATTCACAAGCATACAAAACAAAGTCAGACCTGAACCAAGGGTAAACCAAAATTTCCTACTCAATTATTTGCACATGCAAACAAACAGAGCTTGAAGGAAATGTTCACGTAGTCACCCATGAATCGAAGTAGAAAGCTGGTTTTTCATACTTCTCTTTTATATAATAGAAGACATAGAAAGTAAATGAGTCAAATGACCCTACAATTATCTTTTTATTGTTTTCATTGCAAGCCATAGGCTCGGTTTGAAAGGAGTACAAATACAAGTACATGTACAGTACAAATACATACAAAATAATATAAAATACAAGGTTTTGCACTCGACATATTTGTATTTGTACTCCTTCCAAATTGAGCATTATGCTATGTTTGGTTGCAATGCAAATAAATTTGCACTGATGCAAAACTATGACAGTGCAAATGGTTTGATTTGTAAATTCTGATATATTTTTGTTTCAAATTTTAGTTTATTTTATTTGATTGCAGTAAAAATTAAGTAAATTAAGACATGAAATAGATTAAAGTAAAATCCGAAACAGAATTAAACTGGAATTTGCATTTTATTCTTTTGCACTCCCATACATTTATACTAGTGCAAATAAATCCACACTGCAACCAAATACAGCCTTAGCCTCAGTTTGGAAGGAGTGCAAATACAGATATACACAGTACAAATACATAGTTTTGCACCCTACATATTTGTATTTATACTCTTACATTTTTTGCATAAATCACATGTTTAACGCAAGGAGCGCAATACAATGCATCTATGATCTATTATATTGTGTTGGGTGGTGCATGCATGCATGTGTGGTGATCTTAGTTGCATGCATGCGAATGCATGTTGGCTTTCAATTGTATTAAGCCTATTTTCTTATGAGTTATTTTATTTTATAATTAGCCATTTTGGTGAGATTCTGAGTTAACATTTCAATTGTATTTGTACTCTTCCCAAACTGAGCACAAGGACCAAAGTTTTGGTCTATGTTCAATAAGATTAATTAGTCGATTACAATAAGTTCTAATTATTTTCAGTAAAGTTATCTATTTGCAAATGTATAATTTCAACTTAAACATGATTATTTTTTTTTTTAATTTTAACATTTTTATTTTACCAAGTTATACATGTATGCCTATGTGTATCATTTGCTGTATCCTATATGTTTCATGTTTTAAACAGATTTTTTTGATTATATATAGAGTTAAAATTTGCCAATAATGGTGAAAAATCTTGGGTTTAGTTCTTATGAAATAGCCTAAAATCTTGGGTTTAGTTCTATACTTTCATTTTTTTTGAAGGAATAAGCTAGACTGTGTATATATTGATACACAAGGCAAGTTATTGTGGCATCAATCCATGCTATATCATCCTATATGTATATAAATTAAAATATATTTGTGTATTAACCCTATGTTGATGCCAGTCTTTAATTATTTTAATGAGATGAAATTTGGTTTAAATTCTATTACTTTTGACAGGTGGAAACTGTTTTGGCATCCCAAAATGGGTGATGACTCAACAAGTAGACCCCTTATAATATAACAATTAATTAAAATTTAAAATCAATTTCCAAACACAGCCTGAAAATTGAAGGTTATTACTCTTAGCTAGGAATCTCTCTCTGGCCAATGATTCTAGATTCTAAGAGGCACTGGGGACTAAATATGGAGGAGCAAACAAGTTTACCAAATTTTTATGTGGTTCAGTTTTGCATTCATTGGGAGTGCAAATTTTGCAACCCGGAAATTGGATGTAGAATTTGAACGATCTCTATAGAGTGTGTATCACGCCAATGTAATTCATGCCTCACCTTTCCCAAACATTCGACCTTCCCATTCTCTCCATTCTCTTTCACATAAAACTAAATTGTATTCCTCACAACCAAAGTCAAGATTAGCCTAATTTTCGCTTGTTTCATGCTGCCATGCGTTCATACATTTACGTCGGCACAAATGAAATTCATGTTGCAACCAAACAAAACCTTAACAATTAATATGAAAATTGAGACTTCATTTGGTTCACGGGAATAGGAATTTGGAATCGGAATCGGAATTGAGACTTCACTTGCTGGATGGTAATCCTCTATTTGAGGGAATGACAATTCTTTATCTTTTTCTTGGAATTGAAATCCCCCCATTTGAGAGAATAGCCATTTGAGAATTAAATCCCACTCCTACTGATTCTAATTTTCACTCTCATTTCTGAACCAAGTAAGCCATAAAAATGAATCATTTCAATTTCGAATTTTGAAGATTTTGATTCCAATTCTAACTCTAAACCAAACAAACCCTAAAATGTCTTGTCGTTCTAGTCGTTCTCATGGAAAACTACGTGTTGCGTTTGCTTCATGCTTGGACGCAACATTCCACATTTTGGCAATACGTGTAAAAGAAAATATATTTTTTCCAAGAAATTTCAAAATGTAAATAGATAAGCATTGCTCAAGATTTCAGTGACTACTTCTGAATAATTTTAATTAATTAATTAAACCATGAACATTTTTTGTTGAATTTGAGCTTCTCAATTCCCGTCAGTTAATCCTCATGAGACGGAGATTTCTGCTGTACATATTACCAATCAAAACACTACCCATTTTGTTGGAATGAAAACAGAAAACCTATATAAAAAAAAGATTTGTTGTGCCAAATTTCATTAATTAATTGGACGGCTGGGATGAGATGAAATGATTTGATATATTTTCTTTTTTTAAGCTAAAAACATAATGCAAATTGGGTGGTCGGACTCGGGACTCGGGACCAAGCGCTGTTGCTTCCACTAATGGGTGTATGGAGGGATAGGTGAGCCACGTCAGCTTTGATCGGTGGCCGCATTTGGTTTATCTACCCAAGCAATTGCTGCCACGGCACAGGAACAATGGAAATATATTTCAAAGTCTTTGATTGATTCACCCTTAACACTCACCGTTGATTTACGTGATGGGTCCCATATTGCTTAATTTTTGCTCCGTCAGATCAAATTGATCTGATCATCTCATCACCACCAGCTGAGAGCCGCTCGAAATTAAGGATTGGTAGTTGCCTACTCGGGTATCGACACTAGACCGTCTTTTGGGTCAATAAAATGGACCCAAACGTTTGTCTGTCGTCTGGACCCTAGAAAATTAAATTTAAAAAAAAGAAAAAAAGAAAAAAAAAGATATTTGGAAAACAAAATGATAATTACTGTATGAGGCAGACGCTGTCATAAAATGCCATGCCATGTTTCTCTGAATTCTGACTGTTAAATCTCCGCCCTTCCTTCCTTATCATACCAACTCTCTATCTCTGTCTCTCTTTCGCTCGCACTCTCTCTCTCTCTCTTTCCGAATGAGAGCTTTGAAATAAGCTTTTCAATGGCGAATCCCTCTTCATCATCCAATCTCTGATCCTCTCGGAGGTCTTATTAGAACTTTAGGTTTATTTTACCCACTCATTTGTTATATATATATAGAGAGAGAGAGAGGGAGGTATACAACTGGTGTTACTCCTGCTGCTTCTGCTGCTGCTGCTGCGTTTTTCAGAGCTCAAGTGCCGATTGGAAACTCTTGTTGCTTCTTCAATCCTTAACCTGTAAAATATTCGCCTTGCTCGGATTCTTGGTAATTCCTTCTGAAGTTACAAACCTCTCGAAGAAGTATTAGCTTCTTCTTCTTCTTCTTCTTCAAAAAAAAAAAAAAAAAGAAGAAGAAGAAGCAATTGCTGCTTTTTTCTTGAAAAGATATTAATTAGATTAATTTGCAACCGAGTATTTTTCTGGGTTTTCTATCTCAGTTCTTTATGAGACACATGTACACTTTGTTGAGTTCAGGATGAGATATCCCTGCTCGCTTCGTTGGGTCTTCCCAGAACCCTTGTTTTTCTTTCCAGTTCATAATATAATCTTATTCTTATTATGCCAACTCAATATTTAACAGGAATAGAAATATTAATCAGTCTTTCTCTGTGCCAAGCAGCTTCTGAGCTTCACCTCCCGAACTCCGAGTTTCAGCTAATTAAACAGGTTCGATACTAATAATTATATCTAAAATGGCACCTAGGAGCAGTCGGGGCAAGCCCAAAGGAGAGAAGAAGAAGAAAGAGGAGAAGGGTAAGAACTCATTTATCAATGAAAATTTGATCACAACTTACGGACACAAGGAGATGTTCTTCATTTCTCGCTCTTTACGTGACATTGCAGTCCTCCCGGTTGCTGTGGACATCGCCGTGAATCTCCCCGATGAATCTCGTATTATTCTAAAGGTCAGTTTCTGTCACCGTTCTACCGTCCGAAAATTTTCATCATCGTTTCGCAACATTGAATGCTAGTTTGAGCATTAATAACAGAAGAGAGTTTAGCAGTCTGCACTCTGCGCAGTGGTCTCACTGATTTTGCTTCCGACTGGTTCACCGTTGACGTACATTTATAATCATAGCATATCTAGCTTGCGAGCAAGCGTTTTTCATTGACTTATCGGAGATTCTCTTTATTTTTCCCTTTATCTGCTAAAAATTTGGAAACGATGAGCAGGGAATATCGACGGACAGGATAATAGATGTTCGTCGGCTTTTGTCTGTCAACGCAATTACTTGCAGCGTTACCAACTTTTCGTTATCTCACGAGGTAAGGCGATATTTTCTTTGCAGTGAAGCATCTATAAATGGAAAATGAGAAGAGCCTTCCGTCCGTTTATAGAATTAATGTTTTCTATGCAAAACTTGAAAAGGCATATTTGTTTTTTCATTTATCTTGATAATCCGAGTGAGGGCCGAGGGGATATAATTAATTATCCTTAATTTAATAATATTAATATAATAAGAAATGTGGTAGAATTAGCAAAAGGCAGCCTTGGATTATGAAAACTAGAACGTAACTGTGTGGCGGTTGCCATAACTCATAAGCGTTAGGTTAGAACATAGAAATTAGAGCTGTAATGCACCAAGTGTTTCGTTTGCAAATCGCAAGTTCGCAACCCATCCATCAAAAAAAGCAAAGATGGGGAAACTACTTGCACTTTGCAGCAAAGAAAAAGAAAACACGGCGTTACTCGTTAGTAAAGGGAAAAAGAGCACTCGAGTCACGTGAGAAGACAGAGTGTAATTTTGGTAGGTCAGATTGGAATCTACTCACCACCATATCCGATGTTCCCCGACTCCATCGGTCCATTGTATTTGTATAGTACTATGGTATTGGTATGGTCATATATCCCGTCTGACAGCATCATACTGTGGCTGTGTCCCATAGGGGTAATTTGGTCTTTTAATAAGTTAATATTACCAGGTAGGAAGTAGGATTAGGATTATATTATATTATTATCGAAGTGGTGGCACTGTTTTAACTTTTTAACACAAAAACTTTCACTCCAAAAGATGTTGAGTGTAATGTGAGTTTGTCTGTTGCATTGCAGATCCGGGGCCTGCGATTGAAGGACACGGTTGACGTATCTGCTTTGAAGCCCTGTGTTCTAACCTTAGTAGAAGGTAAGTTGGGTTTGGGAAACCTAACTCGGGGAAAGTACTGAAAAATATAAGCTCTTTCTTTTCATTCTCTCACGTCGATGATCGATCTGGAACAGACGAGTACGATGAGGATAGCGCGGTGGCGCATGTTAGACGACTGCTGGATATCGTGGCTTGCACAACCTGCTTCGGTCCTTCGGCGGGAAAAGATGCAACGGCAGTGCCTGCGACCGCGAACAAGGATTGCAAGTGCGCTGCAGGCGGTACGCAGGATAAGAACAGCAAGCAACCTGGCAAATCTCAGGCCAACGTCAAGCACACCTCTTCATCGTCGTCCAAAGATGGAACGATCGAGGGCGAAGGGGAGATGAGCAGCGCGTGCCCTAAACTCGGGAGCTTCTATGAGTTTTTCTCGCTCTCGCATCTCACGCCTCCTATTCAGTGTACGTAAATCTTTCTTCTTCTTCCTTTCATTTTTTGGGGGTAGAACCGTTGAGGGGTGATTGTTGCCTAGGGTTTTGCTTTTGTGCTAATGTGCATGAAAACTCGACTCGAGTGTGCTGGGTTGAAGAACCTGGATTTCTGGCTGGTCACCATCTAATCCGCTCCCCTCCTTGGCAAGGTGAAATTACCTATGCCGGTGGACATCACGATTCACGGTCTTCGATGTATGTGCGTGGCCCCACGTTTTAGCTCAAGGCTACACCCTCTTTGGCGCATTTTAGAAATTAGAAAATGATTAGATGTTTTTGTAAATTACAATGACCCCCATACTGTGTGTCAGACAATCACCCTCTTTGAACTTTTTATTAGCGATAAAGATCTCTTTGAACTGTCACTTTGTGGAAATACTCCCCTAGTCGGTTTTCGAACCCTCGTTATCAGGTTTCGTTTCTCTAATTCGAAAAGGAAGAGCGGCAGAGGACGGAATGCGTTAAATCACTAAAATATTCATCTTAATTTTTCCTTATTTTATTTTCTTTGCCCTTATCAATTAAACTAAACCACGATTGATTTCTAAATGAAACCCGTTAAAATAACAAAAATCATTTTAATGACAAAAAAAAACAAGTTTCTTTAAATTTTTGTTTTATTTTACTAAAACAAATGCCTTTTAAAAAATTTTCATTCTTTTTTCAATAAATCAAAAAAAAAAAACAAAACCTTAAATTTATTTATATAAAAACTCTGCCATCTGAATAATTGAATCAATCTATAAATACTAAGAAGAATTCAATATTATATTTAGAAAACTAATGAAAATAAATAAAGAAGAGTAGTTTGAAGATTTTTTTTGATCAGTGAGTAGTTTGAAGATTTGAAAAATTGTAAACTTGAATAAAAATATTTTTCAGAGTAAATTGACATAATTTAAGGGAGGGGGTATTTGTAACAAAATAAAATTTAGAAGGTCTTTGTTGCAGACAAAAGTCAATGGATAATATCACCAACCCAGGATTATTATTATTTTTTAATTGCAAATGAAATTTAAGGGTAATTATAACTAAGGTTGGGGGGACTTATAAATTTATCAAAGGGTAAATTGCTAAAACCTACCTTAAGTTTCTAGATGTTGTTAAAACCTCTCCTAAATTTGTTGACATGGTTGCAAACAAAATACCCATGCACTTATTTTGACAAGTATATGTGTTTTTCAATTTTTATCTTCATATGAATCATTTCTCCAAACCCTTTCAATTTCTTATTTGAAATTGATTTATTTTTTAAATTTGCCTTTCATATCAATCACTCAAGGCTCAAAGTATCGACACAAGCCAGCCTATATCGGTATTTTTTTTAGGTTTTATTTATTTTTTTGTAACCAGTTCAGAGGGGTCGATTTAAGGACTACCCTCTGAACCAGTGTTTGACCCAATACAACCCCTGGAGGGGCATATCGGGAAGCCATCAGCATGATATGTATCGGCCAATACGTATCAATACTTTGAACCTTACAATCACTCAAAGGTAAAAAACTACAACTTTAAAATTTCTATTTTTTGTGTTGTTCATAAATTGTATTAATTTTCTATATAAATTAGCGGCAATAGTAATTGCATGGATATTTTTGTGACTCTTGTTAGAGGATTCTAATAGAGGGGCTCTACTTTAGGAGGTGATTACAATTACATTGTGTTTGGTTTGAAGGAAAAGGTAAAGGAAAGGTAGGGAAACCTTTACAAACCTTATATGGTTTCCTTACCTTTTCCTTAAAACCAAACATAACCTTTGGGAAAATTCCTGATTAGTACCCTATACTTTGGGCCTAGTGTCACTTTGTTTCCAAACTTTAAAATACGACAATTGAATACCCAAACTTTCAAAACGTGCCAATCCAATACCCATTGTTAACCGGTCATTAAGTGGCATTTGAAAAGACACAAATACCCTTCGAGTGTCATCCAATTCCCTTTATCAACCATCAAAGCATAACATTCCCAAATCCTCGCCTCTTCTGTTTAAGAGAATTAGACGAGACTCCAACTTTCTTAAATAGAAGAGGTAAGGATTTGAGACTGTTCATTTCTTATCAATGTTTGAATGATTGATAAAGAAAATTAGATGATATTTGAAGGACATTTGTGTCTTTTCAAATGCCACTTAACAGCTGATTAACAAATTGATTAATGGTAGGAACTGTCACGTTTTGAAAATTTCGACACTGAATTGTTGCATTTCAAAATTTAGGGACCAAAATGGCAATAGGCCGAAAGTATAGGGTATTAATCAAAAGTTTCCCTTAAAATTACCAAACTTCAGGAAATTAAAAAATTAAAGGGAGGTTCAGCAATTTACCCTTTTATATGGTTCGACTATTATATGGATCCGAAAAACAACCAATTAACTGGAATCATAGATTTGGTAGCGAATCAGGTGTTATGTTCCTGCGAGTACCATACTTCAAGGAACACTGAATTCAAAATTGATGAATTGTAAGTAATGCTGCAGTTATACGGAGGACCACGAAACGACGAACGGAAGAGATTTTACCAGACAACCATCTATTCTCACTCGAAGTAAGATTTTCAAACTGACCCCTTCTTTTGCGGTCTATCAGTATACATGTTTTGGTTGATGTTTATTTGTGATGCTAGTCTGGTACCAGCTAATTCACGGGTCCTAATAAGCTGCTTTGTTGATTTGCAGATAAAGCTCTGTAATGGAAAGCTGGCTTTTGTTGAAGTTTGCAGCAAAGGATTTTATAGTGTCGGAAAGCAGCGGCTTCTGAGCCACAACCTTGTTGATCTGTTACGACAGCTTAGCAGAGCCTTCGACAATGTTAGTATTGCCTCCCTGTGTGTGTGTATCACACGCATCCCTCTGGCTATGCTGTACTATGAGAACATGTTTCTAACTACTGATTTTTGGAAACATATATCGATTAATGTGTTTCTTCCCTCAATAAACTTTACTTTATTAGCAAAGTAACCTCACTTCTTACAAAAAAAAAAAAAAAAGAAGAAAAAAAAAGAGTGATCCTGTAAGTACAAATATCTGACAGGAGGTCGATCTGTTAGCCCATAAGACACTAAGACAGACGGCCTGAATTAGTGAATCCAATATGACAGCTTCCAGTATCCAATGGTGTTGGAGAAAAATTGATTTGACATATAGTGTTACTTATTGATTCCAATGCCATGCAGTATCGGGAATCAGTGGAGCAGTTTACCTATCATGGACATGGTGATGGACACAGCAGCATTGCGCAAACTGAATTCATAGGGTTGGGTTCCTAATAATAACAAATATTACAAGAAAAACACAATATAAATAAATAAACAAACTAGCTCATGCTGATATCCTTTGTACTTTTTGTTATCCTTATTAACTTAAGATTTAAATAAGATGTTAATCTAGATTTCTTTTTCTTGGTTTCATTTCTTAGAGTCTGAGATGTTTTCTGGGTCCATTCTCAACTTTACTCTCTAAATGAGTCATGCATTTTCTTTTAAATTGATTGAGCATCTGATTGAAATTTGCACGTGAACTTGATTCCCTATATTTCAGGCCTATGATGATCTCATGAAAGCATTCTCAGAGCGTAACAAGGTATATAAGCCATCCTGATAGTGTTCCACTCTGCCTATGGTATCAGACATTTCCAAATGTTTGCCATTTTTTCTTTTCATAAAATGCCTTCTGTTCTACATTTTAGTTTTATTGCTCTAATTGTTCTTGCTTCTATTGACTAACTCCTCTTCTGCAGTTTGGTAATCTCCCTTATGGGTTCCGTGCAAACACGTGGCTTGTTCCTCCTATTGCAGCACAATCACCATCAGCTTTCCCTCCTCTCCCAGTGGAGGATGAAACATGGGGAGGAAATGGAGGTGGTTTAGGAAGAGATGGGAAATATAATTTAATACCTTGGGCCAGTGAGCTTTCATTTCTCGCATCTATGCCTTGCAAGACAGTAGAGGAAAGACAGAGCAGAGATAGGAAAGCTTTCCTTCTACATGGCCTATTTGTAGATGTAGCAATTTTCAATGCCATTTCAGCAATACGGAATGTTATGAGAAAGTTGGATTCAACGCCATCTGTTGGAAAAGGCAAAATCCTTCACATTGAGAGAGTGGGGGACTTGAGCATTACCATAATGAAAGATACTTCCAATGCTAGTATTAAGGTAGATACCAAGATTGATGGGAATCAAACAACAGGAATGGATGCACAGCATTTGGTAGAAAGAAACCTACTGAAAGGGATTACTGCAGATGAAAATACAGCAGCCCATGTAAGAACTTCTCAAATCAAATTTATGACTAATCTATGGTGATGTTTTCTCCAACATTAGATTGTTTTACCTTTAGTTATTAATTTGAGATCTGCTTCAGTTGAAACAGTGACAGAAAATTTGTACCCTTAAGTGCAGGATATTGTCACTCTAGGTGTTGTCAATATAAGATATTGTGGATATATTGCTATTGTGAAAGTGGACCAGAGAAACAGCAGTGAAGTGGATCCTCCATCTCGATGCATGGACACCATTGATCAGCCTGAAGGAGGTGCCAATGCTCTCAATGTTAACAGGTTCTCATCAACACCTTCAACATCTCAAATGAATATGATAAAATAGTCATGTTTTGAAAGATATGCCAATTTTGTATATAGCACATACATTGTCTTCAATCTTAATCAACCTAATTTCTAGGGATGCAAACGGATTGGAATCAGGGTATTCTCTGAATCCAATCCGATACTATTAAGAGCAGATCCGATTGGATCTTACAAACATGGATTTGAATTCGAATCTGATGAGGAAGTCGGATATTCAGATCTGATCCGATCCGATTTAAATAAAGAAAAACAAAAAAATACAAGTATCTTCTCAACTATTTTCATCATATATATACATATTTTTTATAAAAAAATAAATAATATATCAAATTTACAAAAATGAAATATAAATAATATATTTATAAATAAATAACATATATATATATATATTTATGTATATATAAGGCCAGATCTTCTCAGATTGGATGGGGGGGATCTGAATCCAAAATGGGGATGCCTAAATCCGACAAAATAGGATCGGACTTCAGATCAGATCGGATCATGATCCGGTCCATTTGCACCCCCACTAATTTCAACTATCTGGGGGTTATCTACATTTCAAAACAAAATGGTAAATTAGTCATGTTTTAGAAAAGGGCCATTACCCAATAATGGTCCTTCGTCCTTGCTATCTAGGGTAGATTGGATATGGACCTAATCTTTGTTTTTTTTCTCTTTTTTCTGCATAAAGTGGCTGCTCTCAGATCTAACCTGCGTTTTCACTCTTGCCCTGAGATTTTAGTATTTTACAATTGCACCAAGCAATGACTCCTAACTATGTTCCAGAAATTGGCACCAATTTGTATACAGAACAAACATTGCCTTCATCTGCCTTCTTTCAACTATCTGGGGTTCTCTACATGAAGCAACATAAAGTATTCAATGCCATCTGTTTATATATACAAACTCAAACATAACCATTAGTTAGCATATGCATACATGTATATAATTTATTGTCAAAAGAAACAAAACACCCTAACTTGTTATTACAATCTAAAAATTTCTTGATTTACAATACAGACAGTAAGATGCAAAACACTAGTGAAAGGAGTCAACTGGGGAGAATTGCAAGGCTATACTTTTACTAGTATAAATGATCATAGCCATCCAATTTATTATTGTTTTCTTGGCAAATATTATGACATTCATCCTGGAATATAGTCAACAGAGATGACAGTTAGATTCAGATGTTTGATTGTGCTATTACCTTGAAGCTCTTCAATTTGGCCCATCAAATGGTGGGTTTAATCCATTCCATGGTTTGAAATTTGCATGTGTAAGACCAAAAAATTTCAGAAAAGGATTTCTGACTTATGTAAAAGGACCAATACCCAATGACAGTCCTGATTGTCCAGGTGTTGGGATAGTAGACTGGACATGGACCTAACCTTTGGCATTCTTTTGCAGAAGGTTAAGCATCCCATATATGTCCTACATAAATTTATAATTTTTTTCAGTACGTATACGAGGTGTAAACATATTCATGGATTTCCATAATTTCATTTTGAGTTTCTATATGTTCTTTAGATACTGATTCTGACACACTTTTTAACAAGAAAACACATATTGTGTGATTCTATCCTTTAGTAAATATGTTTAGATTGGGATGTGCATGCCCAGATGCTAGTGCTTGGTTCCTGTTCTTCAGCACTTCCATTCACAATTCTTATAATAAAATTGTTGATTACAGTTTGAGGTTGCTTCTTCACAAAAGACTAGCCTCAGAACACAATAAAACAATTTCACGTTCACAAGATGTGGAGCGTGAAGAGCTTAATGCTGCTCGGGCTTTTGTTGTGAGAGTGTTGGGAGAAAGCCTTGCTAAGATTCAAGAAGAAGAAATAGAACAAGATATCTTTGTGAGGTGGGAACTAGGAGCGTGCTGGATACAACATTTACAAGATCAAAAGAATGCAGAAAAAGATAAGAAAATATCTAATGAAAAGTCTAAGAGTGAGAAAAAGATTGAGGGACTTGGGAAGCCTCTTAAGCTTCTTAAGAACAACATAAAGAAATCAAATGAGAGCAATCAAAAGGTACAATATGAAAATGGCAAATCTCCTGCAGAGCGTATTGATGGGGAAGCTGAAAATGCTAAATCAAAATCTGCGGAATCAGAAGCTGAAATCAAAGCCAATGAGAATGAACTTGAACTAAAAAGGTTGTTGTCTGATTCTGCATTTACACGGTTAAAAGAATCAGAAACGGGACTTCATTGCAAGGTAATGTCATCCTAGAGATTGTTAAAAGATATACAACAGAGTTGTTTTTGTTAATGTTTTGACTGACATTCAATTATTAATTTATTATTAACAGTCGCTGAAGGAGCTAATTGAAATGTCTCAGAAATATTATAATGAAATTGCTCTTCCTAAGCTTGTAAGTACTGACTTCATTATGAATGGACGTTTTTTATCATCCACTAGATGTGGTTACTCAGATTTTGATTAATAGTCGTGTTTCAAACATTACAGGTTGCAGACTTTGGCTCATTGGAACTTTCCCCAGTTGACGGCCGGACTCTAACAGACTTCATGCATACAAGAGGCCTCAGGATGTGCTCTCTTGGACGTGTTGTTAGTATATTATACCAAATTTCTCTCTCTCTCTCTCTCTCTCTCTTTCTCTCTCTCTCTCTGTATGTGTGTGTGTGTGGATGAGGGTGCGGAAAGAACATGCCTGTTTGTATGTTTAGGGTCAGTACTATCTTTCTTTTTTTTTTTCTCAATACTCACAAATTCTAAGCTTCTTTCATCTTAATAATGTTTATTTATACCTACATGTAGATATGCAATCTTTTTATCCCTTTTGTTTGCCACTTCTCATTATCCCTTCTCTTTTTCTTTTTCCTTCTCTCTTTCTTTTTAGATCAAAATAATCATGTCTCTGCCTTTCAATATCTAAAATTATGGACAATTACAAGTTTACTACTTTTGGATGCATTAAGAAATTTTTTTTTTTTTACTTTTTTCTAACCAGGTTAAGCTTTCAGAAAGGCTATCACATGTACAATCACTCTGTATTCACGAGATGATAGTAAGAGCTTTCAAGCATATTCTGCAAGCTGTGATTGCAGCTGTCACTAAAATTGAAGATATGGCTGTTTCAATAGCTGCTGCATTGAACCTGATGCTTGGGGTTCCTGAAACTGAAGAGTCCAATCATTCTTGCAATGTGCATGCTCTTGTGTGGAGATGGATTGAGGTCTTTTTGATGAGGAGATATGAATGGGAACTAAGTAGCTTAAACTACCAGGATGTGAGAAAATTTGCAATTCTGCGTGGGTTGTGCCATAAGGTAATTAATGCTAACCTTTCAATTTCAAAATATGCAATCTGTTTTGTACAATTGTGGTTGGTTTGGAAACACTAACCATATTTTCATTCAATGTCCAATTGTAATAAATTAGATAATCAGAACGATTATGACATATTTCTAGTGGAACTTACATAAAATTTAAGACAACTACAGTCAAAAGAGGGAAATGGAAAAGATGTGTCCTTGACTATTCTGTCTAAATGGTAGATGCCCATTGCAATTGGAACCTTCCATTCAATGGTAAGCACCCAAGAGGATTCCTGTATACAAACTGTGATCAATTGATGAGGATGGGATCCAACAGTGACATTCTTTTGGCTTATCTCCTCTCATTTAATTTAATAGCATAATTGCTATGACTGTCCAACTTGATTTTTCTTGGACCTAGAAGAGTTATCTGGACCAACCATATTATGACTCGTATCATTTGGATATGAGCCTTGATTTTCACAGACAACAGATTGTGCATTCCAATTTGAATAATCTAGATGTAACTTTCCATATATCATATTATCACTAAAGAGAAGAATGGAACATAAGCCCATGGTAAGAATATAAATTTTACATGGTAACAATATAGTTTGTCACTTACAAAACCCAAATGGAAGATAAGATAACGAGTTGCTGGCATATTTAGAAATCTTCCTGCTTTTGCATTTTCTTAGGTTGGTATTGAGCTGGCTCCAAGGGATTTTGATATGGATTCTCAACACCCTTTTCGGAAAGTGGACATTATTAGTCTGGTACCAGTGCACAAGGTGATGAGCTACATAATTCCTCTTCCTTGAATAATGAAACAGATATTTTGTCGTCTTGAAATGAATAGGCAAACATTCTTTACTTAAATACATCTTCTGTGTTTCTTTGCAGCAAGCTGCTTGCTCATCTGCAGATGGAAGACAACTCTTGGAATCGTCAAAGACAGCTTTAGACAAGGGAAAGCTTGAAGATGCAGTCAGCTATGGGACGAAGGTATTGGGCTTCCAGGATGTTGAAAGAGTTATTTCTGTTACAGCCAAAGTACTATTATTGTATTAGTATCTTACTTATTGTACATGTGCTATGCACAGGCTCTCGCAAAGCTGGTAGCAGTTTGTGGTCCCTACCATCGGATGACAGCAGGAGCCTATAGCCTTCTGGCTGTAGTTCTCTATCACACAGGAGACTTCAGTCAGGTCTAGCCTCTAACTATTTCTGCTTTATCACTACCTCAAATTTTATGTAATTGTATTCATGTGCATTGATGGATAAATATATGTCTCTGTTATAAGCTGATTTAATTTGAAATCTCTCAATGATAGGCCACAATTTATCAACAAAAGGCATTAGATATCAATGAGAGAGAGCTAGGACTTGATCATCCAGATACAATGAAGAGTTACGGGGATCTTGCAGTTTTCTATTACAGGCTTCAACACACAGAACTGGCTCTCAAGTACATTCTGGTCTTTACACTATTTAGTACAAAGTTTTGGGCTTACTTGTGTTCATCATATATTTATCTGTCAGATTGCTGACAAATGTGTTGGTTTGTTTGTTGTTCAAATGCATTATTAATAACCTGATTTTTTATGCTAAAACTCAAAACCTTTCCTACTCCTAGTTTCTTTCTTCAATAATTTATCTTTTTTGCTTCCTTGAGTTTTTTTACTTCAAGTCAGTCTAATTAGCAAGACCAGGATTTTTAATACTTTTTTTTCCGATGAATAATGAAGAATTTTATTAAGATAAAGTTTAAAATATAAAAGTACACTGACAAGTGGTTACAAAAACAGAGTTCTCCCAGAAGGCGCGAGTTGCTACCTTACATACAAAATAAAATTACAATTGAGCCCAGAATAAGTGATCTCTGTTAACCCCATGCTAGCTAGTAGGTCAGCCAGCCCATTTTCCGACCTCCTCATCTCTCCCCTAAAAGACCAAGCTACTGTCTCCGGTTTTTTCAGCCACCTGGTTACCACTTTAGAGTCACCTTCAATAATCAACCTCCTACTCTTTAGCAATTTGTGCTCCCTGTAGAGCCGCTTTCACCTATGCACTAACCGCATCCCCCACTCCAATTGGGCCAGAGAATAGGGAGACAATCTGTCCCTCTTCATTCCTGAATACACCCCCAAACAAATGAAGTCTAGGGTTTTGAGTAACAAGGCAACTTGATCAAGTTCGGAGTCTCTCAGATCTCTTCTAAAGCCCAAATTCCAACTGAAGCCAAAGGATTGGGAGAATGAAACAAAACCTTGAATGAGTTCACTTTTAAAAAGGGAAATGAAATACAAAGAAGGGTAAAGGTCCTTAAGGGTGGAATTACCGATCGGGTGTCTTCCCAAAATATGATCCTATCACCAGTACATACATCATACCTTATGAGGCTGAGAAATTGAGGAAGAATACCATGAATATCCTTCCACGGAGAGTTTAGAGTAGCCTGCCACGACACTCCAACGTCCCAACCATTTCCTGCAAAGCCATGAATACTCCCCACAACCTTGTGACAAAGCCTTTCTCTCTCTAACGACCATCTCCACAGCCATTTACTCAGTAAAGCTTCATTCTTCTTCCCTATATTTCCTAACCCCAAACCCCCTTGCTCCTTCTACAAACTAGATCCCATCTCACCAGGTCATCTTTCCTACCTTTGCTAGGCTCCCACAAAAAATCCCTCATGATCTTCTCTAGTTTCAGTACCTCCCTTTGTGACATCTTGAAAACTGAGAGGAAGAGAACTGGAAGGTTTGCTAGAGCAGACTTAACCAGAGTTATACAACCCCCTAGAGACACATAATTTCTTTTCCAAGATGACGTCTTCTTGGCACATCTTTCAAGTATTGGGCTCCAAAAGCTTCCTTCCCATGGGTTGGCTCCTAAAGGCATACGTAGATATTTCAAAGGCCATCCTTCTGTTGGACAACCTAAAGCTTCTGCAATCCCAACCATCTCCTCCTCTCCCAGGTTAAATCCCACTACACAACTCTTTTCAAACTTGATTTTTAACTGAGAGACAAATTCAAACAGTTTGATCACCTGCTTCAGATTACTTACCTTCTGCAGATCAACATTCTCACAAAGGATAATTGTATCATCAACAAACTACAAATGTGTAACAACTGTGCTCTCTCTCCCAATCTTCCAGCCTTTAAAAAGTTCCAAACTATCAGCTCTTGTGATAAGTTTACTGAACACCTCTGCTACCAAGGTAAATAGGAAAGGAGAAAGAGGATCCCCTTGCCTCAAACCTTTGGTTGCTGGGAAAAAGTCTCTAACCACTCCATTGACTAGGATTGAGTAATGACATGTCTTCAGGCACCCTTTTATCCAGCCACACCATCTCTCTCCAAACCCAAAATTTTTCAAAGTGTCCAGGAGGAAGGACCAATCAACCATAACATAAGCTTTCTCCAAGTCCAATTTACACACAAAACCTTTCTTTTCCCTTTTTTCTTTTAAATCCTCCACACATTCATTGGATATCAAAACTTGATCTTTGATCTGTCTACCCTTAATGAATGCCCCTTGGGAGTGGCTTATCAAACCAGGAAAGACTTGCTTTATCTTAAAGATAACACTTTAGTCAATACTGTGGACAACACTTTCCCTTTTTTTAAACTTTTTTTCCCTAACAAGGACTTTTAAATTAGTTCCAAATTTGTCTGTGTTAGACACTGTCATATTTACATCATTACATGTGAAACACATACTGTCACTTTTAGTTAGGAAAATTTGTCATGTATCTTTTTCTTCCTTCACTACTTATACACCACCTTTTGTTCTCATCAGGGAAGCCTGCCTCTTCTTGAACATGTTTAGGTGTATATTTGGCTAATTTTCAAGGCCATACATGATATCCTTGATTTTCTTCTATTTTTATTGCTATTTTCTTGTTTGCTTTTAAACATTTCAACCACATTTAAGTTGATTTGTACTAATAGGTTATATCAACTGGATGATCATAAACATCCAATCTGTTTATCTTTTCTTGGACAATTTCTTGTTCTGGAGCCTAGGACATAGGTGCTATTCTAATTGGATAATCTGGCATCTGAACCAGTTAATGTTTTATTGTATTTTGACCATGTGGAATTGCCATCTCATCTTTATTTGATACCAATTGATATTTGTCTTTTACCCTTAAAATTTTCAATTTTTGAGTAGCCAGGAGGCCCAGGACTTCTCCCTGGTTTTTTCCATAGGATATAAACCTGAAAGCTTCCAATTTATAATTTCTGAAGGCTGAGATTAGCTTTTCATTGCCACACTATTCATGCTTTATCAATACATATTTCATGAGATATCTACACGATTTTTAACTTCTATACAACCTGCTTAGGAATTTTCTCTTATCATATTTCTTATTTATTTATTTATATTGATCAGGTATGTAAAGCGTGCACTCTATCTTCTACATCTCACTTGTGGCCCATCTCATCCAAACACTGCTGCTACATACATCAATGTGGCTATGATGGAGGAAGGCCTAGGAAATGTTCATGTTGCTCTCAGATACCTCCATAAAGCTCTGAAGTGTAACCAGAGGCTACTAGGTCCAGACCATATTCAGGTCCCTTTCCAGCCATTTTTCTCATTATTGTATGCTCTTGTTGTGATTTAGTGGGGAATGGAAATTTTTCTTGTAATTACGATCTTGTCATGACCCTAATAAATTTTAATTAATTGACCATCTTTTGCAATAATCTAGATTTGTTTTAGTTGTTCCACATAATGCCTGATTACTTTCAGGAGGAAATTTGAATTTACACCTTAGAGGCTAAGCTACATCTGTTTCAATCTTCTACAGACTGCGGCAAGCTACCATGCTATAGCTATTGCTCTCTCACTGATGGAAGCATACCCTTTAAGTGTTCAGCATGAGCAGACAACCTTGCAAATTCTCAAAGCAAAGCTTGGTCCAGATGATCTTCGTACACAGGTTTCTTCAATACTCGATTCACTGAGTGAAGGCAGAAATATTTCTCATTCTTTTTCAATTTTTTGGGGTCTTAGAGGAGTTCTTTTCAACCTAGCTGCCAAGCCTGTCATTTGTTATATAAGTTATCTTCCCAAATGTCCAATTGGAAGCCAGATGGTGGATAACCATGACATGAACCATGAGGATCTGATTATAATTTGCATTCCATAACATGAAACTTATTTAATTAGTTATGCAAACAATATTTTGACCTGTCCAAAATAATGCAATGGACTGTGTGGTTAATATCATTTATTTCTCTAAAAAATAAATGGTTTGAATCAGCGCTCAATTTCAACTGTAGTGCAAGTTATAAAACAAGTTTAGCTTTTGATGCCCATAAACATTGTCTTGTTGATAAACACTACAGGATGCTGCTGCTTGGCTAGAGTATTTTGAGTCTAAGGCTTTTGAACAGCAAGAAGCTGCTCGAAATGGGACCCGGAAGCCTGATGCATCCATTGCTAGCAAAGGCCACCTGAGGTATTATTTACAAACGTTTTCAGTTCAATAGTAACATTTATGTGGTTGATTATTCTGAAAATACCAACAGGACTAAGGTTTTCTCTGTCATTTCCTAATACGCCACCTTTTTTATTCATCTAAAGCTGCAACCCATCCTTGAGGCCAAAAATATTGCCTCTCTAAAATGATGGACCCTAACAATCTCTGATAGCTCCACCCACATCAGATTATCCTTGGCTACCAAAGCACAACCATCAACATTTAATCTCAGAAATCCATGCTGTGACAAATCCAATATCCTTTCTGTTGATTTTGCAACCTGTCCTCCCTTTCAATAATAATGTCACTTCATTTTTATTTTTTAGAAAAGCTAAAATACAAAGCCCTGCACAATAAGACACTGGGCAAGGTGCATATAATCTTTGTACATCCCCAAAAAAAAAACCATTTCAGTCAAGTAGATACAAAAAGATCACTGATATAAAGAAAAGAGCTGTATGGTATATTCTTCAAAAGTCTATGTGATGCCACCCAAGAGTATGTTCTACCCCAAATAACTTTCATTACTTAATCTACTGTATTGTACTTGTCTTCAATAATAAGTACTTGCATCCAGATTGGATGGTGAAATAAAGAGTGCTTGCTGTCCAGATTGAAGATCCACACGTTTAAAGTGGATCTTCAAGACTAAAAAAATTTAGTGGTTCTAGTCCCCTTTGTAATATGGGGCAAATGACAAATTCTGGATGATACTAACCACCTTTATAGTGGTAAGTGTTTGAAATTTTCTGTATGACTTTGAAAAAGCAGAAAAGAGATCAGATGGCTAGGCCATCAATTTGGAGATGTGGCCTAAGATATATATATATATATATATATATATATATATATATATTCCTGTAACATAAAGCTGGTATTCTGATGTTTGTAGTGCCAGTAGCTATCTTATGCTTCTTCACATAGTCCATAAATTTGAATTCCTAATGGCTAATGGTTTCAAGTTGTTTACTCAAAACTTGACAGTGTGTCGGATTTACTTGACTACATTAATCCTAATCAAGATGCAAAAGGAAGAGAAGCAGAGGCAGTGAAGAGGAAAAGTCTGGGTACAAAGGTATGATGAACTTTCTTCATGGTCTATTCGAGACATTCTCGGTGCACCATCTAAGATGAATGTGTTAAATAGCCAACTAGTTTCTTAATTAACAAGGTAACTTCAGTAGGATCATGCCATTGCTTTGATCTTTGGACCTGGAGCATCCAAGTGGTGTAAACGTAATATATTGTTGGCCAGAATAAGTAAATTTTGTTGCTACATAGCAACGAGTTGTGTAGATGGGATTATGTATCATAATCTCTATTCATAGGTACTAAAGTACTAGAGATGAGAAATTAACCCTTCTTGCTCTCACTTAGACAAATGAAAAATCTAAAGAAAAATAAAAGGAACAAAAACAAAAAGACAATCATACAAATACAAAATTTCTATGTAATGTCATAGGTTCTAATTTCTAATATGCAATGATCTCCCTTTTTTTTTTGCTAGATGAACTGATATCTAGTTGATCAGTAGGCTTTTCAAGTTTTTTTTTTTTTTTTTTTTTTTTTTTTTTTTTTTTCATATAAGTGATTCTAAAGGAGTCTTCCTTGATTCTTCCCTATATGAACCCAAGCTCTATGTATAGGTTTTATCTTTTGATTTATCTGAATTTTTTATTTTCATATTCTTTTGATTTCTTGAGGGAAATACTGAACTTCTTGCATTCTAAGTTCAGCTTGAGTATGTTCACCCCACTGATGTTTTGAGTCACCATATTTCCTGAGAATAAAATGGCTTTACGAGTGTTAGTTGACTGCTAAAAGTCACTGTTTTTCTTTGTCCAATATTATTTCAGGCTTCAATATCTCTTGCATTTCCAAACCTTCCTATTTCTGTAATTCAGGCCTAAAATGACCATTGAACTTTTTCTTTGCAGGTAAAGGAAATATCTACCCAGAATTTCAACTTAGCAAGTACTGAAGGATCAGTGAAAGATTCATCCACAGCTGCTTTGGAAGAAGAGAATGAAGAGAAACAAATTCCTGAACCTAAAAATAATGAAGAGAATGACCATGAACCTGTTAGTCAAATTGAACCCAAACAGATGGTGGTGAAGGAAGTTATAGAGGAGAAGCCAGTGACTGTCAATGAATTCTCAACAGAAGCAAATGCAGAGGGAGATGATGGATGGCAACCAGTCCAAAGGCCCCGATCATCTGGGTCGTCTGGGCAGCGGTTAAGACAAAGAAGGCCAAATATTGCAAGGGTCTACAGTTATCAGAAAAAGGATTTGGTTACTGAAGCAGATCAATCTAGATTAAGAAATGTGCATCAGAACAGTAGGTATTACTTGATAAAGAAACGAACTGGTGGAAGCTACATGGATCATCACACTGCAAAGAATACCTCATCGGGCACTAGGTTTAGCAGAAAAATAATTAAAGCTGTGACATACAGGATCAAGTCAATGCCATCTTCTAGCATAGCTGAAGTAAAAGATACTTACAAGAGTGGAGGAGATGAGATATCCAGTACTGTGCTTCAACCCAAGCCTTCTTCTGCACCAAATGAAGCTACACCAGCTTTACAGAACAACACAATAATTAGTCTTGGTAAATCTCCTTCTTACAAGGAAGTAGCACTGGCCCCACCAGGCACTATAGTTAAGATGAAGGTCCGGAATTCCCAAAGTGATATCCCCAGTAATGCTGCAATGAATATTAAGAAGAATGAAGAGGAAAATGAAGCAATGGAAAGTGATATATCTGTGAAATTAGAGATTGAAAATACCACGGAGGAAAAGACTGAGAATTACATTTTAGATTCCCCTTCTCACTTGAAAGATGAAACTGAAGTTATTGAAACCCCACCAGAGAATGAAACTGTAGAATGTTCTGAGACAGTATCTCCAGATATAGAAGTGGCTGCACCTGGTGGAAATGAGGTTCATGATGTCCTGCAGGGAAGCATAGAAGCTGATAGTAATGGAATTCCTGACAATGCTCCCAAAGAAGAGCACTGTGAAAAGGCTATATCTAGCAGTGCAGAGCCTGAGAATAAGTACGGCCTAGTACAAGGAGGAGAGGATATAAAGCAGAAAACTTTGACCTTGAATTCAGTTGATGCACGAGACATTCCCAACAAGAAGTTATCTGCGTCAGCAGCTCCGTTCAACCCATCTCCTGCCATTATACGTGGCCCACCAGTGACCATGAACATTAGTCTCCCTATTGGTGCTGGTGTTGTTCCAGCTGTTGCCCCTTGGCCAGTAAACATGGCTCTTCATCCAGGGTCTGCTCCTGTCCTGCCAACAATGACTCCTATTTGCTCCTCTCCTCACCACACTGTCCATGCATACCCATCTCCCCCTAGAACCCCAAACATGGTACACCCTTTACCATTCATGTACCCACCTTATACTCAACCCCAAGCAGTACCCAGCACCTACCCTGTAACTAGCAACCCGTTTCATCCCAATCATATTGCATGGCAATGCAATATGAACCCAAATGCATCAGAGTTTGTTCCAGGAACAGTATGGCCTGCTGGCTGCCATCCTGTGGATTTTTCTGTCTTGCCACCTGTTGTTGAACCAATTCCTGATCCTGTGTTGGCGCAAAAAATGAAAAGCAATAGTATTGAAGGCTCAAGTTCAGCTTCAACACTTCTGGTAGAGTTGAATGATGGGGGGGAATCCAAGAAAGATGTAGGTAATCTAGCACGAGAAGTTTTGGATGGTGGGACTGGAGTAACTGAAATTGCATTGGAAAAGAAGCAAGAAAATGGCGACTTAAAATGCTCTGGAATAGAATCATCTGGGGATGAACTAATCTACAACATTAGTCCACGAGAGAACTCTGTAGGGGTTGGCGAGAAGAATGTGTCTAGACATACTCGGAAGATGGATAGTGAGGGGAGCTTCAGCATTTTGATAAGGGGGAGAAGAAACCGAAAACAAACTTTAAGAATGCCAATAAGTTTGCTCAATAGGCCGTATGGATCACAATCATTCAAAGTCATTTACAACAGAGTAGTCAGAGGGAGTGAAGTTCCAAAATCTACTAACATTTCTTCAAGTGAAGATAGTACTGCAAGTGTTTCATAAGAGGGTTATTTTATTTTTCCTTTTTATAGAATTGTAGGAGGAAGGTTGAGAATATTAGAAGATGAATTTCTTAACTTATACCCAGTCCAAGATAGGCTGGAAAATAAGGTGCTTCCGGCTTTAATGGTCATGTGTTACATTCCCGTTTTGCTGATACAACAAATCATGCCAAAAGAATGCAGGTTAGTTCCTGTCATTGTTGTAGTCCATGCATTTTGAGTTATTGACACCAGGGTTTCTTGTTTTATGGTGATCGTCATATAATGTTGACATGAGCAACCACATGGTTAGAACAACTTAGAGTACTATATTCATATATCCTTCTTCAAGCTTTATACTGACACACAAAAGCTGATGATGCAGACCTTCATTGAAGCAATCTGCTCACATCTGCAGTCATTTTGAGGAAATAATGGAAGTCATGTCTAAATCAGGTATTATTCTATAACTAATTTTAGATTGTCATCAAATTAATGCAGCCTTGGTTAAAGAGTTGTTAAGGAAAAAACTCAAACATCAGAATCAGGATTATGATTGGAACCTCTTTGAATATGAAGACATTTAGACTGTGTTTGGTTGCAGTGATAATTTATTTGCACTGGTACAAATGCATGGGAGTGCAAAAGTAAAAAAATGCAAATTCTTGTTTAATTTTGTTTTGGGTTTTACTTTATTCTACTTCATGTCTTAATTTACTTCATTTGTACTGCAATTAAACAAAATAAGCTAAAATTTGAAACAAAAATAGGTCAGAATTTACACACAAATCATTTGCACTGCCATGATTTTGCATCAGTGCAAATTTATTTGCATTGCAACCAAACACAGCCTTAAGGACAAAGATTTGGAGTTTTAACTAAAAACTGTTTGGTTTCACAGACATTCTCCCTGTTTCTGGATTTTAAATTTCGCTCACTATGTAAGATCAACCTGTCCAGAATTTCCACTTCTCATTCTTCCATTTTAGTGCAGTTGGCTTGTAATTGAGCAAACATTGAGTGGATCATATTATAGGTAGTTCTGTAGGCAAGTGTCATCATATAGCTTAAAGAATCATTCTCCTATATGTACTTTTATGTATTGCAGGAAAATGCCTTCATCCTTTGTATTATATGAAGCCTAAAATCATCACGGTCTGACTAGTGTTTTCAGTTGATGTGCAGGTTCAGAGAGGTAAATTATTTCTCAATTTTGGTAGGGTGTCTTAAGGTAACATCTTTTTGGTTCCCATAGGACAACGGATTTTGTCGCCAGTTTGGTTAAATTTTATCTGAAACACGTATTGGATTTATTAACAGGATGTTGTCTTTGTCATCCTAATAGAGACCAAAGCTAATTCCATATTGTTTATTAACTGCAACATTGTTGCCAAAACAAATAATGCCAGTTTCATTTATATTCATTTATATGCTTACTGAATAATTGTTTCACATGTTAATATTTTAGTCGGGCTTCTATCTTAAATTCACGTTTAGGAATTTGTTCTGTCTCTGCAGTAAAAAATCACCTCGAGGCCACAAACTCATGGGCCCGGTCCTGCATATATAATGAAATATTCTTACTGAAGTATATTACAGAGATAAAATGAAATTAAATGTAACTTTTCACATTGTTTTTGAAGTCGATTTTCTATTGCATTGGATGGACTGTATCATCTAAAATGGAACTGGAAACTGGAATGTTAGTAGAGGGTAAAAATAAAAAAAATAAAAATCAACTAATGTGGTATTTCGTGACATTCCAGTGGAACATTTCTGGTGTTCCCAAAATAGGAGGAAAAATCTTTGTTTTGCTCATGTGAATATATTACCAACGGTGCCTTGTTTAAAAACTATTTATTTAAAAAAAAAAAAACTGTTTGCTCATAGAAAAAAAGAACAAATTTGATAGAGAAAATGGTGAAGTTGGGTGTTGAGATAAAATCCTTTTCCCATTGATGGCCTTGGTCATAGAGAAGGTTGCTGCCTCCATGACATTACATGAAAAGGCCCCATTCTCTCGAACCATTTACCTACATCTTTCGGAGAATGGGGTATATATATTCATTTTGAGGTTCAGTTCGGAAAAAAATGTTAAATACAAATTGGGGACTGATCCACGAAAAAAAAACAGATGTCTATACGTCTTTTAATTGATGCAAATTGGGGACTTACAGATTGGAATTCTCACCCGCAATTCTAATTCCTACAACTTCAATTCCCTCTATCTAAATGCATCTTGTGGTTTTTCGTGAATCTTAGTCCGTCCTTGAAAAAGGACTATGTAGCTTCAGTAGGGGTGCAACTCCGACAGCTTGGGTCAAACGAGGCCCAACTTTAAGACTCAAACCTTGGGCTGTGGCCGGGCCTGGTCCCAACCCAAGGTTAACCCAACAAAATTCAGGCTGAGCTCAAGCTTAAATCCAGCACGAGAAGGTTGGTCGAGTTTGAAAGCATTTTTAAACATTTTTTTTTGCAGAACAATCTTTTACTGGGCTTTGTAGCCCAATTTAGAAGTAGAATGGATTGGAAACATTCATCAGTGTTATTGATAAATGCATATGTGGAAATATTTATAATGTTGGAAACGTACAATACCAGATCGGTTAACCACTTTTATGATACCAGTTGATTGGTTTTAAGTTTTTTGCTGCCTTGCTGGTATCTTAATCTGACATTCAGACCCTGTATATGAAAAATATTTTATAAATAAAATATATAATCTGTTTATTTGTACATGTTTGTGGATGAGCGTGAGTTTAGGCTGGTCATATACATATTGTAAATAATCAAATTTAGTTTAAGATGAATATGATGGTCTAGATATGTAATGCAATGTCAGTTGGGTTTTAGTTTAGCTCGGGTTACACAAGGTCTCACAGGCCTAACCCAAGTTTAGGACAAGCCTGAATTTTCTGGCCAAGGCTCAGTTTGGAGCCCAAAAACTACCAACTTATGCAAAAACTCAGGTTGGGTTGGGCATGCGTGGGGACGTAAGATTCAATTGAGTAGAAACTAGATAGGTAGATATATATCGAGATTAGCCTTTTTCAAATAGGGTAAATCTATGATGCCAGAACCAATCGAAACCCCTTGTGAATTTTGACGAATGCCACTTGTAATGGTTCTTCCAGCATCATGTATTTTTCTGTATCATAGTAGAAATCAAACTTTCTAACTTGACCGGCAATAGCATCCAAATTCGAAATACAACCTGATAACTCAAGAGGTTGAATAAATGAATAGAGCCCAATTCCAACGCTTACATAAACAGTGACCGTTTTTATTATGAGAATCAAGGTTTTAAAAATTAGACCGGATATAAAACCGTTTTGGCCACCGGTTTCCAGGTTGAACAGTCCAACTGTCTGGTTCAAATAGATAGCCCGTTCTGATTTAAAAATAAAAAATAAAATGAGAAAACAATAAAAAATCAACGGGTTGACAGTTAAACTGCACAGGTCCGGGTGAACCAGTCCGACTGTCCGGTTTTCAAAAAACCGTAATGACAATTAGATATCAGTACAGTGGTCGATGGAAGGCCTTTTGCTATGCGCACTTGGGTTGGGCTATTTTACAGATATCATTTTCGGCTAGACTATCAAGGGTTAGCTTTGAGTGGATTAAAGTGTCCAATAGATAAGCCACGAGCTGGTGGCAATTAGATACCAGTTACGAGTTCTCTTATTTATTAAAACAAGCACTATATACAACACTAAGCGACTAGGTTGACCTACAAAAGAAAGCTACTACAACAACAAGGAAGATGTTCTAGAGGGTGCTATTCACTGGGTTCTGGCTGATTTTAGGAATATGCTGAATAAAGCTTCTGCTTTGCTGGCTGCTGGTGCCACAGCTACACTCTACACTACATCCTCCTGATTCTCTTCTATGCCCCTCGTCGGAGATTAAAAAAAAAAAAAACTAATCTTTTCTTACCCATATAAATATATATATGTATATATATATACATATTCTACTTCTTGGAAATATCCGATTCTTCAGTCTTGGCGAACCTTCCACGGACCCTGGGCTGACTGTCAGCCAAAGCTTTCCTGCAAGCATACTGAAAGAGGCCACCATAAGTGACAGCTGCCTTGGATATGAGAAATGCAAATCATATAGCTCCTATAGTGGAATGCTCAATTTAAAATACTAAGATGCTTTTCTTTTCTGATTGGCATACCAGAAGTTAATTACAAGGATTGATCACCTAATAGTTTAGAAAATTCAGGGCTGCACATTCCCATTCAACCGTTCAGTAACTTGAAGGGGGGCTGGGCTCAACTATTGCACATGGAGTAGATTTAACATGGGCTGTTTAATTCCAATACATGGCTTGATTTAGCTTAGCCATCCTTTCATAGATGAAAGCAAGGCCTTCATTCCCTTTCCCAACCAATGTGGGACTTGGGACAGTCACTCACTCATTATTGAGTGTTGTTCTAAGTCCCACATTGTTAGGGAAAGGAAACGGAAGCCTCCCCTTCTGTATAAAGGCCTTGCCTATGAGGACAACTCTCATATTTGACTTGATTCGTGTGTTGGCATGTGGCATATGTATATGATAAAAATTTTGGGTAAAAGATTTATACCTCCCCTGAGTTTTACATTAAATACTAAGATCTCCCCTCTCTTTTCAAAATGGACTAACTTACCTCTCCCCTCCGTTAGGAATCTGTTAAAATCCAATTGCATGTGAGCACTCATTGTGTGGCTAGTTATTTTCAAAAACCCAATATTATCCTTTTAATAGCCACTAATATGTTTATAAAGCCAATGGACAAATACCTCCACTCACAAACGTTTTTCCTGTTACCTTGCTAATACTGGTTATCTGTAAAGTGACTACTGTTCTTCTACAGGGATATTGGTTAATGGGTGTTTCTCATTATCTTAGCTGGTTTTCAGTTTTGTGGAGGCTCATCATAAAATTAAAACTATACTGGCAACCTAATATTTCAGCGTTTAGGATTTTAATTAGTTAGTGTGGAAAGATATTCAAGTTCCATTTTTTCTTTTTCTCCTATTGTGGTTTCATGTGATCAGGAGCTGAACTAATTCATTCATCGAAATGAAGACAAGTTGTTTCAATGTAGCTACCCAAACCCCATACGTGGAATTTTTGGAAAACCTTCCATGCTTGTAGTGACAGGTGCACGGAGTTCCTTTAATGATGATAGATGCAGCAGTGATGGTGGCAGTTACTATTGGTCCAAGGGTTGAAGATGATCAAAGAGTCTTACGTATAATTTGATTAGACTTAAGGGCATATTAGACATTTTGACTTGTCCGTTAGAATTAGAAACAACCGTTAATTCTTTTGATCGGGGACGTTTTAGTCTATTTTAAAAATAGGGGGGAGGTCTTAGTATTTAGTATAAATTTCTAAGGGAGGTTTAAGCCTTTTACCCTAAAATTTTTATTTTTTATGTAAAAATATAAATATGTTATATATATATTATATGTATAATAAATACATACATTATATTGTGGGCCGGGACTGGCCTGGAATTTTGCGGGCCTGGGCTGGGCTTGCATACAAAATCATGGGTCCGGGCCGGGCAAGGTTTCTGGGTCGGATGAAGGATGATCACCCCTAGTCCTAGGTCATGACAGATCACAGGCTATAGCCTGTCTAATGCATGGATAGCTTAGCCAGGCCATCAGTCCATGTGTCTGAGAGAAGTGGATCATGTACAATAGGATTTAAACCAAACTTCTCACTGTCTATTGATTCTAGATTTGACCTGATCACACCAACCTCCATGTAGTCAGAAGGGAAAGACCTCTGGACATGGGAACCTGTGTAGAATCTTTTCCAATTTTGCACATAAAGCCATGTCTCTGACATAATCTACCAATCAACATGAATTTTGGAGAACGGTGGCAAACTAGCTTACCTTGATTTTCCTGCCAAAGTTCCTCTTGGTCTTCTTTTTCCTATATCTGGAAAGCCTTTGCTCGCGTTCTTCTATGGTGTAGTTGCCAATAGTTAATGGCCGCTCGAAGTGAGAGTGAATGAAGCTCATATTGCCATTGCCAAGAGTCTGTCATAAAAACTCAAAATCAATGACCCCCACATCCTGTGGAAATGGCCAGAAACAGCTAAACATCTTTCAGTTCCATAGTATTGCTATTCAGGCAATAAAGGCTTTGTGGTCACAGCAAATATATTTTTCACTGACAGATGGTGGTGTACACCAGAAATTTAGGGGAGAGTAGAGAAAGAAAAAAGAAATCTAAAGATATTATTACACTTAAGTTCAATTTACTGGAGACAAATTTATCTCCTTAACTATCAAAAGACTCATAACACACACTGCACATAGACCAAAAGAAGAGTCCACCAACCATAGCAGTTAGCTATACTGGATAACTGGAGATAAGAGGATGGTAGTACCTAAAAGGCCTTGTATAGTTAAGTTCAACACAACTAGATGATCAGATTATAAATGCATATTTCTGGACTTCTTTATTTACTGTTCCTCTCTCTTATCTTTATTTAGTTAATTTATTTTCAGTAATGATCACAAAATTATTAACCATGTTTTAGCTGCTTCAATTGGATTGTTCTTGGTGCTACATGTGACCTATCACATAGAAGGGTGCAACAAATAGTTGTTCCACCAATCTGTCCATATACTTTTGGAGCTTGTGTAGTCTTTAGAAACAAGTCATAGGCATTCTCATGAATTAATACCAAAAAAACAGGCATTGCCATGAATGAGATTTTACATTCTCTTCTGAAACCTGCACAAATTGGCAGGTACAGAAATTCCAGTCTCCAAAATAAAATAATTGGAACAGCTTTTATAAACTCATTGCTTTAGGTAATTAAGGCGTTCTCATGAATGGGACTTACACTCTCTGGAAACCTGAGCATACTAGCAGGTGAAATAATCCCAGTCTTCATAATAAAATAAATGGAATAGCCTTTCAAGACAGAGCTATTGTAAGCAATCAAGGTAATAACTTAAAAAGCATTACAGGACTAATCTGAACTGCATGGATCTGCAGTAGTCTTAGAAATTTATACTTTTACAACCTTCTCATTTTGTCAGAAGGAAAACTTGTTTGCTAAAATTGTGTGAAATATCTCTGGAATTGAAAGTTGGACAAACATGAAAACCAGAATAACCATAAGAACAATTTCTGATATTCTCAACATTTAACACTAATATCTTTTCTATTTTTTGGCAAAACATTCCCTTTTATCTTGTATGACTTTACAAATACAAAATACTAATATTTGAATATCCTTTTAAGAAACCCTTTATTTTAATTTAACTTACATTTTACACATTCTACGGAAGCCTCTGTAGTTGCACTGCTATCAGTAAAACCAAACTATTTCTGTAATTGGGTGTCTTCACTCCTCACATGATATAATTAAATATTGTGCATTGTTTTAGCCACATTTCTCTGGAAGACAGTGTCCAGACATTGAAGAAACAGTGTCCAATTATAATCATTTCTGACATTTATTGATTTTCCATTTTATTATTTTATTATTTTTTTACTTTTTTACTTTTCATAATTCGACTACTTCACAATTACCCATATCTTTTAGAAGAGACGCACCAATCCTGTCAAAGAACCATTTTGTTGACAGGATCACAAGGTCAGATAGTTAACTGTTTGACTCATCAAATAAAAATGTGAAAAAAAAAATAAAAGAATCAAAATCAAAATGGTTGTAGATTATATGTTGAAGCTATTTTTACTTCAAAATGAGCTTAAAACAATAAATATAATATATAATAGATAAACACATGTAAATGGGATTACTTTGGCCAAAGTTAACATTTCTAAGAACTGTTTAGCCAAAATAAACCATTTTAGCTGGGTTCCCAGTTCTGGCAGTCTGACCATCTGTTCTGGTCGAGTCTGACAACATTTTGATGCACTTTCTTCAATTTACAGGTGGGTAATCTATTCTACAAAATAGATAGTGCTATATGACAGACATAAGAACGAACTGTTTCTAAGGAAGTTTTTCAAATAGCTCTCCTAGGGATAAACACATGGCAAAGAAAATATTAGAAACATAATGAAACTCAAAAGAAAAGGCAAAGGGTTCTGACCTGTATGTCCCCCTCACTGAATGCCCTTCGCATCCCATAGACATCTTCAAAGTCTACTCCCTGAAAATCCAGAAAGTTTGGCCTTATGGCACCCCCATGTGTCCATTCCATTGAGCTCAAACACCCTGAACTAACACTTTTCTGGATTGGCCCCTGAACTACTATCTGATCTTTCTCTGCAATTGGAACCTCCTCCACTTGTGTGGACGGAACCTTGACATCTGGAACTTCAGGGAATGGTTCTTCTATGGCAGACTTTGCCAATAGAGCCTTCTTGCACCCATAGAAGACCTCATTCAATAGGTGCTCACTTTGAATTGAATCAATATCTGTGTCCCTGATTGTCTGGGAGGAGATGACATCTTCCCCACAAGAAATCATTGAAATAGCAGCTGTAATGGGGTCAAGACCCATTACTGGTTCTTCTATGATAGGCTCTGGAGCTTTGAAGAGATCTCCTTCTCCCCCTAGGTCATATTCTGAGACAGTGGAGGTCTGAATCAGGTTTCTCTGCAGAAAGCATAGAAAGTACAATAAGGTGACAAAGGAAAATGGGGAAAGGAACACAAAACATTCCCAGGTTAGAGAGACTTTGGAGCTGTTCTTCACTATACAAAATATTAATATTTAGTTTTATTTTACTCAAACTAATAAAAACATCTCATTGTGTCTAAGATGTGAGAAGTAACAAAAAATATAAGAATGTCAGGAATTGATTAGAGTTTGGATCCAGCAACCAGTAGTTGGAGGTAGAATAGGCTCTTCTAATCATAGTATTCACGGTGCCATAGAAAAGCTAGGTGACCAGGGAACGCCTACATGCCCACCTAGGCTCCTGCCTAGGAAACAAACTTTGCATATAAAAGACCCCTAAATCCATATTTGATTTCTTATTTTGCATAGTAACCAACAATCATCTACACTAACAATTAGCAATATTGTTTATTAAATAACTATAAAATTCACATCAAAACATAGAAAATACAATATTGATGAATAGATAGACAGTTAAACAATAATTCAATAAAGTAACTACATTAAGAAATAAACTAATGAATGTTATAAAGTACGTCCATACCAAAAGGCTAAAGTTTTCACATAATTTGAGGGAGTACACAGTTCACAACTTAGAATTCTCCACAAAGTTCACTAATCAATTCAAGGGTTTTGTTTTCGATTTTTTTGGCAGCACTCAGCTTTGCAGTTTTGGGGTAATGGGAAATTGTACAAATTAGATGGTTTGGGATGATAAAAAAGGCCCACCGCCCACTGAAAGAACATTGTAAAGGCCTGAAGGGTAACCATGGGGCTTCAACATTACCAACTGAAAGCAGTTTCTTGAAAATAAATAAAATGAGAAAGGAAATAACAGTGACAAAGGATGAAAGAAACTGAAAACAAGAAACATTATCTTGAGCATTCCCAAGAAGAGCTATTGGCGATGGTTCATGTTAAACTTATCAAGGATAACTTGTTCCATCGAAGGCGTTCCAACAGTGTGACTGTGTGAACAATAAAAATGAATAAATAAAAGAAGGTGACAAAATACGTGTGGGTATTAAATTTATTGCCGCCCAAATATCTAAATGACAGAACTACCCGAGCGCGCTAAATTGATGAATTTTCCTGCGAAGAAGTAGAAGAAGAAGAAAAAGAGAAGAGAAGAAAGTCCGACTTCTTCCACAGGAACGGAGATCTTCTACAGCTTTTCTAAGCTGTAGTTATTCTCTCTCAGACCAAGCACCTAGCAGGATACAAAAAAGAGAGGAAAAAAGAAAAGATCAACTTTCGCTTTTCTTCAACTTTTCTTTTCTTTTTCGCCCTTTTCTTTAATCTCTGTGAGTGTGGAGAAAAGTGAATCCTCAATACCGAGTTCACATCAGAAACCATCCGAAGGACAAGAAGAAAAGATGTACGAAATTGAAAAAGAAAATCGTGGATTTTATCTGAATAAAGCTGAAAAACATCTTACTACTATTATTTTCTTTTTCGGATACATGAACAAACGTAGAATCTTGAAGCGTTACGAAATTTCATTTAAGATTTGGCAAAAAGAAAACGAAAATCTACATGAAAATTGAAATATGAAGGGTTGATAGAATCCAACCGTCATTACTAGCTATCATCCAAGGAAATCGAAAAACAGAATGAAAAACCGCTTCATTCGAGCAGGAGTTGCTACTAAGACTAAATCGGGACGCATAAAACAGGAAACGAAGAAAAACGCAAAAAAAAAAGCAAAAAATAAAATTAAAAGAAAAGAAGAAAAAGAAGAAGAGGAAGTTTTTTTTTTTTTTTTGTATTTAAAGAAAGACACGAAAACCTGACTTAAACATGCAACTGGAATCCCATACTGCGTTTCGATGGAGCCCAATCAAAACTGAAATTACAGAATAATTCACTGAAACTATGATAAAGTTCATTTGAAGAAACGTAAATGGACAAACAAAAAAAAGTAAATCAAGAAGGGAGAAAAATAAAATTACAGTTAAAACATTGTTCTTCTGAATTCGACAGAACTCCTCGAGTTGCTGAACCTCCTGAGGGAAGCCCTGAAAGTATGGAAACAGAAGTCCCGTGACGCCCGTGTCTGCATACATTTCTGAATAGATCACTTGCTCTATCTCTCTCGGAGCAGAATCCGGAGGTCGAGGTGGAGATTTAATGGCGAACACCCCCTCACTCCTCGTCGGTATTTCTTTGCTGCGCAGCCTTGAGAACAGAGCAGCACAGCGGAAGTAGCAGAGAAAACGACCAAGAATCTGACTTTGGTTGTGTCTCTATTTGTCCTTTATCGGAGGGATTGTATTGTTTGGCTTTAGTTTTATTTATTGATTAAATTTTACAGATTAATTATTGTTATATATATAAAGTAATACACGGTTGATGGCGAATGCTAGCTAGACGTCACATTTGCACTCGCTTGGTTCCCACTCGCCTTAGTGATGTGAAAAGGGCGATTGCGATTTGGAAGAAGAAACAAATGCATTTTGGGTTTAATTTATTTATATAAATTGGATTTTTTTTAGAAAATTTATTTTTTTGGTAAATTAAATGTAGCAATTTTTGTGAGTTGGGATTCAGGCAGTGCAAAGCCGTTCAAACAACCATCATAGCCTTACATTGGGAATATCTCTTCATAAAAGTATGGAGATATTCCCGATGCAAGGATGTTGAATGGGCCTTGCACTGACTGAAACCGATCTCAATTTTTGTTGGCTGTTCTATCCATCTATCTACATATATATTATTGTACTAGAACGAGAGAAACGGCACAAACCAATTTGCATGTCCACATGCTCATGCTTGTATCATGTGTGTGTGCATAGATGTGTGTTTCTTCTTTGTTTCACCGTTGTGGGAGCGACCTACATAATTAGGGGTTGTTTGGTATTGATGATGTTTATAAAATAAAAATTTTGTTTGATTTTGTCTTGAAAAATGAGATAAAACTTGTTTTAAACGTTTTGTATGATTTTTAGTACCTTAACTCATTAGGCACCACTTAGGCTCTGTTAGATGTCATACAAGCCAAACATTAAAAAAACGGTTTTAAAAATGAAAAACATCAAATTTGGTGCTCTTTTTTTAATAAACGGTTCACACGATTTTGGAGAGAACCATTTATCTGTTAAGCAGTTCAACCAAACAACTTTTTAGATGGTTTTTATTGTTTCTCTGAAAAGCTACATCATACCAAACACCATCTAGATTTTCTCTTTGTTTTTTCATTCATTTAGCGATGCATGTATGATGTATGCATGCATATACATCTAGATTCTCTTTGTTTTTTCATTATGGTGGTGCAAGTTATTTGGGTGTAAAATTTGATTTATTTTTGTTTCAAATTTTAACCTATTTTGTTTAATTATTATATTATTGAAATAAAATAAGACTTTAAGCAAAATAAAGTAAAACCCAAAACAAAATTAAATCAGAATTTGTATTCTTTTCATTTACACTCCCGTACATTTGTACTCATGCAAATATAATTGCACGGCAACCAAACATAGCCACTCAAATTGAGTTCTGAACCGAATCCAAGTTCAATATATAGAACTCAAATAGTAAGAAGTTTGCAAGCTTAATCAAGTTTATATATATAATATTTTTAGTTCTTTATATGTATAATTATAATTTTTTTTATATGAAACTCAAGCCTTTTGCTTTTATGCCGAATTGAGGTTGAATAATCCAATATTTGACCGACTGGTATACATAGAGAGAGAGAGAGAGAGAGAGAGGTGTTGAGATTAATTAGTAGATAACAATGCATAGTCATAACAAAAGACAATTGATTATAACAAATTCACAATACTAATGTTGTTTAGAAAATTGATTGAATTATTAATAAATAAAGCAAATTATAATAAGTGAATTAAGATGAGGAGCATTCGAATCCAATCTGATTTTTAAAATTTTAAATCCAGAATTTAAAATATCGGGTTTGAACCATATTTGGATTTAATCTTATTCTACTATACTATTATTAAAATAAAAAAATTAAAAATAATTAATTTTAAATTTATACACACACATATATAAAGTATTATATATAATATAATACTATATAATATAAAGTTGATACTTGCCTTGGGTTTAGTGTACATATATGGTTAATCCTTGTACATACATGCATTCATTGATATTTACTTTTCACAAAGCATACTTAGCATCACATTCAACTAATTATATTTTGAATGCACACTAGAACAAATACACCACATCAAATCAGAATAATCACATGGAATATTATTAGGGGTTAAACAAAGGATGGCAATGTTAATGTTGTATCATTTAATTCAAATAAATAAGAATAGTTGAAGCCAGGTACATGCATGCATGAAATGAAATGTAAGATATTTGCACTCAGACTCAGTAGTCAATAGTAACGCCTAGCATCCATGAAATAAAACAAAGAAATTAAAACGTTTCCAGACCAGGACCGACCTTAAACTCAGTAAAATAGAGTGAAGCAAAGAGGGAGGGAGAGGTCATATTTCAATTATATTCATTCAACAGCTTGCTTGATGTGTACTTGACTTTCCAGTCTCAAATAAAAACATACGAGTTTTGGGCCCCTTGCTTTTCTTTTGAATAATCTAATCTTCTGGACATTCGGCCTCATCTGGGCTTTGAAATTAAACACTCATCAATATTGTACCCAGCAAGAAAGTAGAAGGGTTGGAGGTTAACCTAATCTGCTACTATCATCATCAGTCACCCTAATTATTTTGGGTTATACTCTTTTTCTGGTTATTAGAGGTTAATGCAATTACTTCCTTTTTGTTTTTACTTCTCCATATATAAATTGCATTCTATTTGGGGTCTTCTTGTCATGTCTCTTATAACAACAACCGCTATCATAAAGAAAGACATATACAAAACGACCCTAATGAGGGTGAAAGTTATGCAAAGTTGAATGACACATATAATCCCATTTGTACCAAGGAGCTATTTCTTGAAAATTAAGCATAGGGCTGAAGATGGTGTCATTTTTTGTCCCGATTAATGAGATCCCAATTCAGTCCAATCCATTTATGATTAGATAGATTATGGGTCCTTAGTAAAAGTTTTTAATCATTTTTAATTTAATGGTAACACTCAACTCTAATTGGTTCAAATTTTTAATGAATGAAATTTGGATATAGCTAGGGCTATCTCATTCAATATGATCTATTTGTCTTCCATTGTATATATTATATTAAACATAGTAAAAGAAATGTCACTTGCTCGACAAATAACAAGTAGAAAATAAGAAAAGAAATGAATTATTTATAGACTTATCAGCTACCAAGCTTATATCAAACAAATTAAACCAATACAAGGGTTGTAAAGGTTTCCCTACCTCTCCCTTCCTTTCCTTCTATTTTCCTTCAAATCAAACATAGCCTTACGGTATGCAGAATCAAACAAGAATATGATGATGGAAGAATAATACAAGCAGTTAGTCATGAATAAGATACAAATTAGTGAAAGAAGGGAACACCTCTAATGTATTGAGATTGGATTAGCTGAATATAATGGCTGTTTAGTAAGCTGTGGAATCAATGATAACGATCCATACTAGTCGCAAAATACATGTTTAATGGGGTGTGGGCTCAATATATCTTATGACTGGTGTGGGGCATTATCATTGGTTCCAAACAGCCATTGCATTCAGGATTCAGCTAATTCAATCTCTTATATCTTCTTCTCTAGGCCCAGAGCTCATGCCTCTGCTTTTCTTTGAAAGCCGGTAGACTTATTTCGTTTACTAGAGAGTTCCACGGATTTGAAACCTAAAAGCAGTTTCAACAACCAAATAAAAAAAAGTAACTGTTTTCTTTTCCTTTGGATGAAAATGACACAAGAAAAAAGGACTCAAAATGCATCATTCTATCTATTGCATGCCATCAGCTTGTTCCTCAGGCTCAGTTTGAAAAGAGTGCAAATGTGTACAGCATAAATGCATACAAAATATAAGATTTTACACTCTATATATTTATATTTATACTCCTTCCAAATTCAGCCATAGCTGAAGAACCAAACTTACTCCATCCAACAGTTTTAACCTTGGAAGGACAAAGCTGATAAGTTGTCCTCACAATGATAAATGATGCTTGTTGCAAACAATTAATATTTGCACTGATTTTCTTCTTGTGCCATGTTTTCAAGAGATGAGGCCGAAAAAAGGGTTGATGCCTATGCATCTTTACTATATAAACACTTTCTCCTTGGCTTCATATCAAAACTACAAGCTCCATCGTTTCATTAATTTTCTTTTGTGACTGTGGATGAAAGATGATAATATCTCTTTTTTTTTTTTGTTTTGTGAATCATTGGCATTTTCTCATTTGATTGGATGATGGTAAGAAAATGCTGAAACCATGATCATAATAGATATAAACTTCAAGTCCATCTTCATTGCATGCATTCGCACGCTCGCTCTTACTCTAGCTCTGAAATGCACATGTCATCATGAACTGAAACAAAAGAAGAAATGTCTAAATGAGCAGCACCACTATGGAATAACCCCGGCCATTCATTCATTAGACGTGTATAAGCCCACTGCGGGCTACTTATTCAACGCTACTGTACCAATCTTTTTTGTTGTTATCCGATCCAAGTGGGCTTAGTCTTCAGCCTTTTTGTTTAACCATGATTAGTTCCGTCGACGCATATTAATATTTAATTAGTATGAATGGATTCTCAGGTTTTAGATACTCATCAAATTGCAATAAAATATAGCTCAGTCTAAGCATATGATTTGGTCACCGACACAACAACAAAACTATCTTCCTCCTCCCCCCTGGGAGAGAGAGAGAAAGATAAATAGAAATTTGGCGTAGTTTGTATATAAAATGCAACTAAGTGAGCAGAAACAAACGGTGCACGTCATTGGAGACGTAAGATCTAGAGGGAGGAAATAATAAAGAAAAAAGAGAAATTAGCTGTAAAAGGAAATAAAAAAAGGGGGATAGATTCTTATCTCTTCCCAATTCCCTCAAATTATTCAAATTCTCTCTCAAATCTCAATGTGGTGGGCAGGGCTATTCCTCCCACACTGCAATTTGAAATAAAAAAAAAAAAAAAATTATATTCAGACACCAAAACGACATACTGGATTATATATAAAGTGGAACAAAAAATGCGCGTCTCTGTGCTTGGCCCATTGCATCTAAGGATGCTCACACTCAAAAATATTAAAATAAAAAAAAAAAGTTTAGAAATGCCTTATATAAGGTTTCCAACCAAATATATTTGTATTAATTTGAACTCTTGGGTTTTCACCACATGATACGTTAACAATATTAGTG